GATTCTTAAACAATTTTAGTAGCTTTATTGAAACAAAAATGGAAAGTTTCAATGAATGTGTCCATATGTCTAAAATTAATATTAAAATTGATACTCTTTAGTATGTTATGGTTATAAATTGACTCTTAATCTTGCCTATCCCATTCTTACAATAGGATATTCTATTCCATTACAATGAATTCCTTCATCAATCATTAATCTTGTAACTACTCTACATACTAATTCATTGCCAATCAATAAAGGTAATATTGGAGATGGATAACCAATTATTTAATAACCTCTGGCATTAAGTTCTTTTTTCATATAATGATAATTCTCCAAAACTTTAATTCTCAATCTATTACCCACTTCACTATTGAGTATTCTTAATTAAGCTAGAGCAGTAGCACATTAAACTGGATTCACTGAATTAGTGAACATATAGGCTGATGAGAAGAATTTAAGATAATCTATAACTTCAAATGAATTGCAAGCAACCCATCCAACATTTGTAGATAAACATTTTGATCCTCCAGACATTAATAATACATTAGAGAAATCTTATAGACCTTACAATTCAAATACTCCCTTACCTATATATATATATTAAATTTAATACCAGTCTTTCCCATACATCCAAAATCATGTGCACAATCTATCAATAAAAATGCCTCATATTTCAAGGTCAATTTTTATAAAGCCACCAAATCAGTATAATCACTATCCATACTAAACAAACCTTCAGTAACTACTAGAATACAAGCATCAGGATTTGCAGTTCTAATTTCTGATACTTTTTTCTCCATTGCTTCTAAACTCAAATGTGGAACTCTTGAGACATTTTTTGTAGCTGCAAATGCTCCTTCAGTAAGACAATTATGACATAATTCATCCATTACCACAAAATCATAAGGTCTATTTCTAATTCAATTGAAATACCTTATTAAACCTTTGATTATTCCAAATCCTGCTAACCATCCTGCACTATAAAGAAGAACTTCTTTCATTCCCCAATAATCCTTTAACTCTTCTTTTAATTACATATAATATTTTGATGCACCAAATGCTAAAGGTGCTCCACAAGAATTTACTGAATACTCTTAAGCAGCAGCTGCAGCTGCTTCCTAAAATAAATTTAAAAATGAATTACTTTAGCTTATTCATTAGTACATAATCCCAAATAATCAGCAGATGCAAAGTTAATTCCATAAAATATATCTCCATAATCGTCCATTCCTATTATTAAACTTATTTTATACCATAACATTCTTAAGCAGGTGGAGACATATTTCTTCTCTCATAAAGAATTATTTTCTATTTTCTTAAAGATCCAACTAAATTCTAAAATCCCTTCACTCTCTCAAACAAATTCTAAATATAAACTTATATTAACTACCTTTCCCTCAACATTTTTATATTCTAAATGACTTAATTTCAAATTTGAAATTGTTATACTTCTATCAAATTCTTAATTTGGATTCAAACTTGGGTATTTTTACATCTCTTCTCTTCTCTATTTAATTCAAATAATAATATTCCCTCAGAAATTTGTGATTTGAATCACTCAATAGTATAATATAAACTTTTCTGGATTAATTAAATGCGTATTATTTTATTACATAATATTATTAAAATATGTATCTAATTTCAAATTTAAATCATTCATCTCTTTTTATAAACACATGGTTATAATATTTACTATCCTAATGATTACCAATCTTTCAAATTTGGGTCTTTTTATCCCAATATTTAATATACTCTTTTCTAATTTAAGGGACCATTGAATTGACAAATGTCCATAATCTTTTAAAATACAAATAATACAAAATGACTATTATGTTCATCCTACTCATTTAATTTAATTATATTACTCTTTTTAATATTTTCATTCCCATCCCTGTAATTAAATTTACAAAATTATCTATATTATTCATTCTACTTTTCACTTCAGCTATTATTAAATATCCATTCTTTTTTAAAACTCTAAATGCTTCCCCCAAATAATCCAAATAATTTACTCCCATCAAAGATAATGAAAAAATGGCCACATCACAACTACAATCATCCATTGGTAAATTAGAAATATCAGTCTCTATTATATATGGTTTTATTGCAACTAAATCAAAACTTTTCACAGTTATCAATTTACTCAATCTTTTATCTTTATCAAAATGTTCTTAAATCTCACCTTAACCACAACCCAAATCAGCTACTACTCTATTTCAAATTAAATTATATTCTTACAATTTTTTATTCTAAAATTATTCACTCTCTTTTAACAATTTAATAATATTCCCAACAGGACTCTCTGGCCATTTCTCTATTTGTTAAGCATATCCAGTATGATAAATCTTGAATTCCTCTGGATGTTACTTGAAATGTTTCAATGCATCCACACTATTCACAGTATACATATATTCATTTAATAATCTAAATTTTGATCCTTAATTCTTAAATTATCAAACCTTTTATGCGTTCTTCATCTTATTCCCATTTCTTTTATGCTTTCAATTCTTTCTTATTCTTTTTACTAATATTTTATTAAATCACATCTTTATTCCTTTTCACTTTACCAAACATTAAAATATAATTCTTATTAATACAACATTTTTATCAAAATACCTACTATAATATATATATATATAAATTTCAAAAATTGTTTTCATTTTAAAAATACATAAAGTATTCAAGTAATTAAGTTTATGTGTAATTTTGTTTTCTTGGAATTCCATCTGAATAAATATAACATTTCAATTTCCTATATTTTTATGGAAATTCAATTGATTATATTTTAGAACATAATTCACTCTTACTTATATTTCCTTATGAATCAAAATTGTTTACTAAATTCATATATGCATTATATAATCGAGATATAGAAGAAGTCAATCTTTATTAAGGAAATTAAGCTATGCTCTTATAAAAATAGACTACTTTCTTAGTAGCCATCTTTTCCAACCGTTTTAAATCTTTCATTAAATAATTAACAATCAATATCTAAACTAATAAAGAGAATATAAAAAAAGTTCCTAGTAATTTTAAACAAAAATCCATTGATTAATTTTGAAACTCCATCTATTTATTATAAATTTCTTGCTATTATCTCAAATATTAACTTTAATCATATATTACAAATAAGAAATAATTTAATTCACTTAGTTTTGTTCTTAAGACTATGATATTTTTCTCATAAACACTATTGTATAAATAAAAAATATTTTCATCCTTTTTTATTAAATTATTCCAATCAGTTTCATTAAATCCTGTTAAACTTTAATTGTACATTTTTATTAAAACCTTAACACCATTTGCATAAAGATCACTAATGACAATGTTTCCATTCTTATCCACTAAATAATATTATGATGTATTGCTTTTAATCTTAGGCATTCTTGTAAAATCTATGTCTTGTCCTATCAATCCTTCGAATTAAGTATCAGATAAATTAGTTGTTTATGAAATGAAAACTACATCTATCCATGAAACATAAGGATCACTAATTATAATCTATTTACCTGTTCCCATTTGAGCTATATGATCTCGATACCATTATCTAGTATGAGGATAATAATTTGAAAGTGCATATCCTCTATTTTATGTAAAAAACTATTCTTCTCCTACATGAGCCATCAGAGTTAATAATTAAAGATCATAAATTCTTAAGGTTTCGGTTAATAAGGATGTTAATTTTAATATATTCTCATATTTACTAATATTTAATCCATTTGTCAAATTACAAAAAGCATAGCAAAAAGAAAAAAAATATGCATATGAATCATTGTATTACTTATTATTTAAACAATCATAAGGCATTTCAATGTGGAAATCTTTATCTATCATCTTATATAACTAATTAATAGATAAAAGCTATCTTGTACTATCATCAAATATGTCTAAAGTTGAAGATTTTTCTAAGTTACTCAACATATTCAAATGATGTTAAGTTTCTTTATGAAATATTTCTGATGTAATATCCATTAATTCTTCTGTAACAATGTACATATATATATAATTACTAGCTACGAATATAATCACACTCAAAAGAGTAAAAATTAAATGCAAACAACAAATCTAATTGCTAATCCTCCAATCTCTACATAAAAAGTTTCTATATATCTATTTTTTCTAAATCATAATTTTTCCCTTATAAACAAGTAATTTATTTTTTTAAAAACATAAGGTTTTTAATGGCCGAATAAATACTAAAGATATTAAAAAATTTGATTATTTTTTTTATCTCAATCCATCTATTGAAATATATCTGTTTTTTAAGATTAAATTAGAAGTGAACTATTTAATTATAATATATGTTTATAAAGAGTTTTAGAGTTATTTTGAATGTCTAAGTATAAATATAAGTATCTAAAAACATTTAAATTATCATTTGATTACAAAGCATATATACTATGTATCATATATATTAGAAGAGCATCTTTTCTAAGAGTATTTTATTTATAATAATTATTTATAATTAAATTTCATTAAAAAAAAAATCAAAAAATAATATTTATTTTCATTTAAATTTATTCTATAGAGCTATTAAAAATTATTTAAATTTTGCATTAATTCAATATAAGAATTGTTATGAAAAAACTATTTGTGCTAAATATCAATTTCGATGTTGCAAATTTCAGTAAAATTTTGAATATATATATAATTATAAATTAAAAATTTTAATTATATACACAATTAAAAATGGTATATAGTTATTTAAGATATTCCATCACTTATTAATTATTATTCATAGAGATTAGATGAAACAATAATATTAAATTAAACGATGGTGTTAGATACTACTTACAGATTTTCTTAGTAAAATTTTAAATAGAGTTATTTGTATTTTTGTTTTGACTTAAGAATTTCTATTTATTAAATAAATCAGATTATTTGATATATTTAGAGACAAAATCAATTAATTTATATAAAGTTGTTTTAATCTAAAAATGCATGATGGCATCACTGTTTTTGTGGTTATTATAAAATTGAATAGGGTTTATATTATATATTATTAATTCACATAAATGGGGAATAGTTGTTGTAATCATCGTGAAATGAATCAATCATAGTTATAAAAACATACTCAGATATTAACTCCAGTGATGAAATCTATTGATAATTGGGATTCTTTTTAGGATGATGATGACATTATTTTACCGATGCAAAAATATACAACTTTAAGTGCAGTTTCAAAAACAGAACTTGATTTTACATAAGTTACACATCAAACAAAGATGAAGAAGACTATCCAATTACCAGCAGCTAGGAAATCAGTAAAAATAAGTTATGATAATTTTATTACAATGAAACAAGGAGAATGGAATGAATAATATAGCATATTGAAAAAATTAGGTTAGGGAAGTTATGGATGTGTATGGTTGGGTAAACATAATAAAACTGGAATATTGAGAGCACTTAAATAAATAAAAAAAGATTCCTTATTATTTGAAGATTAACAAAGAATGTTATCAGAGTTGAATATCCTTAAATCTTTAGATCATCCAAATATTGTACGTGTATTTGAATGTTTTTAAGAAGATGAATAATATATAGTTGTAACAGAGTATATTTATAAAATATTTAAGATATCTTCCAGGAGGGGAATTATTCGAAAGAATAAAGAAACTCTAAATTTTTAGTGAAAGAATGGCAGCAGATTATATAAAATAAATTTTATAAGCAGTTAGTTATTGTCATGAAAAATAGATAGTTCATAGGTATTGATATCAATTTAAATTTAATTAGAGATTTGAAACCAGAAAACATTTTATTAAGTGGATAAGGTGAGGAAATTAAAGTAATTGATTTTGGAACTTCTCGTTATTTTACTCAAAACTTTGATATGAAAAAAAGATTAGGAACTCCTTATTATATAGCTCCTGAAGTTTTAAATTAAAAATATAATGAAAAAGTAGATATTTGGTCATGTGGAGTGATTCTGTATATATTTTTATGTGGGTATCCTCCATTTGCAGGAAGAACAGATAAAGAAACCTTAGCTAAAGTATAAGCTGGAAAGTTGATATTTGATAGAAATGATTGGTCTACTGTATCAAGTGATGCTATGGACTTAATAAGCAAAATGTTAAATTTAGATGTTTCTAAAAGATATTCAGCTTAATAAGCATTAAATCATTGTTGGATATTAAAAAATGCCAAATAAGAAATAATTTCTTTATAATTACTTAGCAATATAGAAAAATTTTAGGTTTAAAGCTATTTTTATATTAGGTTTAAAGTAACTTTAAGAAAGCAGTAATGACTTATATGGTGAGTTAGACTTTACAAAGTCAAGAGATTAGTGAACTTAAAGCTACATTTAATGCATTAGATAAAAATCATGATGGGAACTTAAGTAAATAAGAATTAGTAGCTGGATACAGAGTATTATTAAGGAGTAAAGAATAAGCTGAAGAAAAAGTGAATTAAATTTTAGATACTTTAGATTTAAATCATTCAAATCTAATTGATTATTCAGAGTTTATCATGGGAGCAATGAGAGTTGAAAAATTAGTTTCAATAGAAAGAATTAGATAAGCATTTAGAATGCTTGATATTGTAATATTTCTAAATAATTTTAGAATGGAGATGGTTTTATATCAAAGGAAGAATTAGAAGAAGCTATGGGATTTTTAGAACCTGAAATATGGGAATAATTTTTAAATGATTGTGATTTAAATAAAGATGGAAAAATATCAGAAGACGAATTTAGTAAAATTCTAACTACTATATGATAATTATTTCTAAGTATTTAACTTTTTATTATATACTTATATCTAAAGTATTTAAAATAATTAATGTTATTATAAATTAATAATATTAGATACTCAATTTTAGAATTCATATAACTCAATAAATTGATTTTTGTCACATTTACAAATGTATTTGGTATTTGCTTCTTGTAATGCTATATAAATAGGATTAACTAATTAAAAATAAAACTATTACATAAATGTTCAATATCTTTATTAGTAAATAAACAAATCCATAATTTATTTGTCATTTTAAAATTGAATAATTGTTATAATATTTTTTATAAATTTGATCTTGATAAATCTACAATATGTATTAATGTATTTAATGCAATTTTATCTTTTAATTCATCAGTTAAATAATCAAAAATCAAAACTGGTTATTAAGGATTATAATTTTATTTACTGAATATTTATTTAATTTTTTATACTTGAGGATGATTGAGATCTTAAATTTCCCATTTCTCTGTTATTAATATATGTTAATTAATCATATCCTAAACTTCATAAGGTGATATTTAAATCATATCTAATAATGGTTATTTTTCCTATTCCATAAATATTGGTTTCGCATGATGATTAAATAGATTTAAAGAGTCCAAATAAATCCAAAATTGTTTTGGTGTATATGTATGAATTTTTATAGCTATTTTTATAATTTCATAATAAGTTTTTTCATCATCCAAAAATATCTTAGACATAAAATATGGTAAATTGTCAGCTCTATTATTTAAGATTTCTTTTTTTTTATATATTACTATTGCAATATTAAAACTAAAAATGAAATATCTATCATTTATCAGAATAGTGTTCTCTATTATCATTTATGCTATTGGAAAAGAAGCCTTATTAATACCTAAAGTAATGAACCATGGAATTGCATACAATTAAGGTGATATTTCATGTAATGTTAATCTATTGTATAATTCCATATCATGATATTTCAATAATAAATTGTATACAGATAATATTGATTGAATTCCTGAATAATCATCATCAAAAAAATTAGTCATATATCTTCTAATAAATTCATTGAACATAGAATAAACTACTGATATATTTAAACCTGCATTAATAAATATTATAAATGGAGCTGCGATTTCATGTAATCCTTATTTATAAGTTATATGATTTGATATCACATAATATGTTAGTAATTATTCAAGTTAAGTTTTTAAATTTGAATCAAGCAAATTTCCTCTAGTCCTTATAACATCAAATCTTATAATATTTTATTATACTTTATTACTCTTTAATTTTATTAATTCAATTTAACACTTTAGATAGGATGACTAATCTTTAAATCAATGTCCATCAATTAAGGCCACATTAAAGCTCTAGTATATAGAAAATTAGCCTTTGATATTAATTCAGAATTAGACTTTTTAGAATTATCACTTTGAGATCTCATTAATAATTTAATGTTTTAATATAAAGTTAATATTACAAATAATTAATGACTATGAAATCAATTAAAAATATTTTAATCATATTCTGCTTTATCTTTTTCTAATAAAATTTCTTCTAATTTCGTTATCAACAAACATATAGTGATTTCTAGCAGATATTTAATGAGAATATACGAAACTCCTTTCATCTTTAATATCTTTAGTTGCAAAATCAATATACTCATTAAGGTTCTTAAAATGATGTTTGATTAAAGTTTTCCAATTTGTATTTGTTATATGATTTTTCTATTCTAAATTATCTAGTAACAAAGCAAACTTTGACTCTTATTCTTATAACCTATTTTTTTCTTTAGAAAATGAATCTTGAATTTATTAAAATGTTTTTAGAACTCCTTCTTCAAGTGTACTAATATCAGATATTAGACTATTTAATCTACTGTTTTTGGTTTATTTTTTTACCAAAACACTTTTAGAGCATTAATATTGATGTTACTTTGAAAGACTTGGAGAGCGAAATTAATTTAAATAGAATTCATGCTCCAATGGTGGTAATTTTACTTAGGCTTGGATTTGATCTACAAACAATTAAACATCCTATTTTGATTTAAATGTCATTGCTTATTTAGGAGTTGTGCTTTTTTTTTATCTTTTGTGATTAAAGCAAATTTCAGCATATGTGTCATCAAGCATTTTTAGTAATTAACAATATTTTTTATAACTTATTCATTTTATCTAATTATTTAGAAATACACTTATTAAACAAAAATATAAGATAATAATAAGATTGATAATTAATCTTCTTATTAAATTCTTCGTTAACATATTATCAAAATCAATAAATAATGTTTTGTAATTTTAGAAGTTATAGTTATATCATCAAATAAGATATAATTTATAAATATATATAATACAATAATATTCACAAGTCTATAATTAAAATATATTAAATATTAATAAATCTGTTCATCATAAACAAAGAGGATTATATGAATTATTAAAAAAGGTTATAAAATTATTTATTTTTATAATCATTTTCTAATTTAAAATATTTTTATTTACTATTTGTGTACTTTATATTGATATTTTGTTATATAATAAAGAATTTAATTAATTTTATTTTAACATATGTGATTGTTTAAACTTTGGAATAAATCTTTAATTATTTATATTGATTATGAATACTTATGAAATAAAATCAATTTTTTATTAATCAAAATATAAACAAAATTAAAATTTCATTTTAATTATTAAAAATAAGGCCACAATTTTTATTATAAATTTATTTTATTTCTAGAGACTGTTGTGTCACTAGGTAAAGTTTTAATTCTTGTTGAACTACATATTTATGAATCTTAATTTATAATTTTTAGTTATTTATTTATAAATTAAGTTTATTTATTATTTAATTGTATTTATTATGGTAAATAACCTGAAGATTTAGATTATATTAACTATTATGTAGTTCTAATAATATCAACACTTCTTTTTTAAGCAAGAAAATATTAATTAAGTTCATTTAAACTAGGTTGAATTATATTTGGTAATTTTGATTGAAATATATTTTTTATCTTTTTATTTTTTTCATTAACATATTATGCAATTACAGAATGTGATGCTTTTCTTGTAAATATATTATGATTTTATTCATAATTTAATCTAGGAGTTAAGTATTAGTGATTTCCAGAATTGGTTTATTGTAATTTAATAAATTATTTCTTTTTAAATTAAACTTTTAATATGGTAGCAGGAGAAGATTCACAAGAAGAATCAAATTAATCCTAATTTATTTAGATTATAATTTATTACAAATTTCTTGTCCATAATCTCATGATATTTCAATAATTTGTCCCTTGATACAAAAACACTATTTTTAGGTTCTTATATACAAGTTTTACGTCTTAAAATTAAATGAGAATTTCTCTTTCTTTAAAGTAACAAATTGATTTTTCTTTCTAGATCTGGTTCTAATTTGTTTATTGGACCTTCATATTGTTGATCAGAATTAGTTTTGGCTCTTTTATGAGTAATTTTTAGAATAGTTGGTAATCGTTAACTTCTACTTTTATGATGTCGATAGTATTTTTTATGATTAGATCTTTGTGTAAATTCTAATTATATATTTAATATACTATACTGCATTTTTAATCTATTCATTTTCTTTTTCTTTAAGATTGCTGCATCTTTTGAATGTTGAAAGACTTAAATTGAAGTAGTTAGATTATTAAGTCTTTTTTATTTTGAACCAATAAATTCAAATTGACTGACTCTTCTAATTAAACAATTTTTGACTGGTGTCTCAATAATAATATGACTTGTTGTTGAAATTGCATCAGTAATATCAAACTTCTCAGATCTAGATGATTTAGTTGCAGATTATTGAATTTATGTTGTGTTTGGTATATTTAAATTAGTTTTAAGTTTAGGTAATTATCTACGTTATTGATTAGATTAGAGTAAAGAATTTGATGGTAATTCAAATGATTTAGAATGCCAAGTATGACATTATCTGAACTCTAAAAATTTTGATTTCTATGGTATTTGATTCAAATAGCTTGTTTGTTATCTAGTCTCCTTAAAATTGATTTTTAACATTAAATTTATATACATAAAAATAGCTTTAATTTTAGACATCTATTATATTATATCTATATTGTTCTTATGATTTACATATCAAATAAATTATTGTAATATGATAATCAATAACATATTATTAAGAGTATTATTTATAATTAATTATGAGTGTAATTAAAGGAATTGCAAGAGCAAATTTGAAATTAGTGGAGCTAGTTCAAAAAGGTTATATCATTCATGGAAATACTTTAGAAGAATAAATGATGAATTTTGAAAGAATCATTTCAGATCACAGTAATATTGAGATATATTGGATTAGATAGAAAACATGATAAATAATGGTTATTTTAGGATACAAGATTATATGAAATTCCTAGACCATCTAGATATAGAGATTTGTATGAAAGAGAATTGAAAAGAAAGAAGGATAGAAGAACAATTGCATTTTTATGTAAACATGTTATGGCTGAAAAGAATGTTAAAATACCTATGAAATGAGTCAATATATTAATATATTAAATATATAATGTAAAATTACGACAGTTTATTCTTTTAGATTCAACTATATGTAGCAGAATTGTGTGAACCTATAAATTTAATAGAATTTGTAGTGGATGATGTAAAACCAAAATAGGAAATAGAGTAAAAAATATCAACAGACATTTAAGTTTCAGATCGAAAATAAAAAATGAAAACTTAAAATGAAAAGAGTATAGAATTGTTGAAATAATATAGATAGTCAATCCATCCAAATCTAATGTGACTCATACTTAATAAAGTAAAAAGAATAAATAAGATAATATTTGTAAAGGGAAAAATTGGATTATCAAGAAATTAAATGAAGAAAACTAATCTAAGTAGATAGTTACTTGTTTACCAAATTTACCTAAATCAATCTAAAATTAAGGAAAATTATTCTCTAATACAGCTTCAAGATAGATGAAATAAAGATTCAATAAATTTATAGCTGATTAGAATAAGAATTAATTTATTATTCAAAATGACATTTTATAAGGATAATAAAATTCATCATTACTTCAATTAAGTAATATTGTTTAATATATTATATTAGTTAGATTAAAATCAGATTCTCCAAAATAATTACCGATTTATGATGTTAATTTTGTTTAGAACTTTTAATAATATTTTTCTTGATACTGAGTAAATATAAACATGTTCATATATGTTGTGTATTTTATATTAGTAAATTAATTATCAAAACAATTACAATTATAACTATTATCAAAACAATTCTTTTATCATAATAATAATGTAATTAAGAATATATATATAGATTATTTTAAATATTCTTTAATTTCTAATTTTATTATAAATGAAATTAATAATGAATATAAATAAAATATTACTTTTAAGTTTAAATATTATTATCAAATCATTGACGATTAGGAAATTTAAACTTAGGATAATATTAAGATAATACCAGTAATCATTTAATAAAGTAATTGACTTCGAGATTTTTTAAATCTAAATTAGGTCCATCATCATTAGCCATATCTAAATCGAAATCATCATTAGATTATCGAAATTTTCTATTTTCTTTATGTTCTTAACTTTATTTAAAGGAAGTATAAGATTTCGAATCTTTTCTTTTATTGAATTAATTAGAATTATTATGTATTTATGGTTATGATTCAACTTGAATTAATGTATGATTGCTAATTTAATAATTATTTTATTTGCTTGTAGCTTAACTTTTAGGTTCAATAGATATTTTTTTTTACAATTAGATTTCATCCTATTAATTATATGTATTATGATCAAAGTATTTTTCATGTAATTATTTCATGAATTTAACATTATGTTAATTCTCTTATTTTAAATGAAAAACTTCTCCTTCTTCATCAACAGGAGGAACTAAATCAATTTCAGTTTATAATCTAATATTTGGAATAGAATCAGGATCAATAAGAATATCTTATGTTTACAATTCCATCTATTTTAATTCCCAATCATAAAGTTAATGTTCATAATCTTAGAGTTGTTTTTCAAATAGATTTCTCAAATGAGAATAGTTTGGTTATTATTAAAACAATAATGATTTCACATGCTAAAAATATTGTATAAAACACTGGAAATTATAAATGAATAAATACTTTTGGTAAATTGTAACAAAGTGAAATAAGTGGAATTCCCATTTTTACTTATAATATTTAATCATACTTATCTTCTTTATCAATAGCTTTAACATTAGACCATGGTAACTCTCCTTTAACGAAATAAATTAACATATAACCTAAACTTTCTAAATCATCTCTTCTTGATTATTCCATCCCTAAATAATATAATTATATATACATTATAATGTATTAATGCTTGCATAACGAGCAGTTCCTATAACTCCTGTTTTTTAAGAAAATTCTATGTGTCTTCCATCAGCCACTCTATAATATTTTGATAATCCAAAGTCAATCAAATAAACTAAAGAAGTATCTTCTCTAGATATTAGAAAATTTTCAGGCTTTATGTCACGATGTATAAAATTCATACTATGAAATACTTAATCTATTTATATTATATACAACCTTCTAAACGATCAATCAGTTGGATTGCCAATTATAATGTAGTTTAGAGGGAAAACTTACCTCCACATTTCTTTAATAAAACTTCAAGATTCTCTCCTAATAATGTACTCATATAATATGAGTATTATCGATCTTTTCCATTATGTAATAATTCTGGAAATCCTAAAATTATTATAATAGAAGTAAAATTAACATACCATTAATCCCTTTCAATTATTTCAATATCAATATTTCTCTATTCATCATTCTCATATGTAAATTACGATTTTCAAATTTAGTTGCACAATATTCTTATTCATCCATATCAAATGTTAAATAAACTATTCCAAAACTTCCACTACCAATTTTCTTTAGCAATTTGAATCTTTGATCTATAATCAAACCACATTATAAACTATTATTCTAATCCATTTTAATAATAAATTTAATATGTTAAACCATTTAATAACTATAATAGCAGAATGCCAAATTAATTCAGAATAGATAAAGTAGTTGTTTGTTGATCCTCATATGGCATTTCAAATGTTATCCTCCAATGGACATGATATCGATTAATCAGATATTAAAAGGTTCATCTCTCTTAATGATGAAGAAATCAAACATCTCATTAGCTAATTCAATTCCAACTCAGAAACAAGATTTACATATGCAGAGTAATCCTTCATATTATTATATAGTTTTATTAATTCCTTAAAGCTTAATAACAACAACAATGTAAGAGAAGCACTTATTAAACTGTTGTAATAGGAGGCAATCAATTTTAAGTAAATTCTTTGTGTTTTCCATAGATTTTAGTAAAGTTTAAATACTCAAAGAAGATAGTAATTTCAATCCTACTGAATTATTTAATTAGATTGATTAGTTTGGCAAAGGTTACATTACACACAGAACTTTAAAAAAATGTACAAATTTATCTAACGACTACATCTCGGCTTTCTTTAGATTTCTCGACAAAGATAATGATGGCAGAATTTTTGAAAGTGAATTTTTATCAGCCTTCAAAACCTCATAAAAACAACAACAATTAGCTGTTTAATACAAAGATTTAAGATAAAGTTAAGAAAAAGAAAAATAAATAATTTAATAATGTTAATAGATCTAATAAAATCTATAAATGAATGAAGAAAAAAATAGCTAATAAAGAATTAAATAAGTCTAACAATTATTATAGAGTAGATAAAACCTAGATCGCTCTAAAGGATAAAATTCATATTCCTCCTTACTTAAAGTAAGATAATAATTACTTTAAATTGACTATATCAGAAGAAATTCTCAACGTGAAACCTTTGAAAGACTTCTCAAATATTAACATCAATTAATTAAAAATATAAAAGAGAAGAATGAAGAAACTACATAAAAATAGAAGAATCTTAGTAGTCTCCATGATCAATTATATACTATGAGAACACAATAAGATTTAAGTCTTAAAAGAAAACGAGAGTATAGTATTCATAGTTAATCTTAATTATGATTATTTTTTTATAGACTATTAACATATATCAAATATAATACTAATTAAAGATCTATTCTGTATTATATATATATTTTGGATAAGTAACATTAAAATAAAATAAGAGATGGAACAAAATAAAAACATCTTAAACAAAATTCTTACTTTTTGTATTTTAAATATTTTTTCCATTTTTTTTAATTTATTATAATATTTAAATTAAGATTAATACTCTATGCTATTTTACATGATCTGATTCCAAAACTAATCACACTACTTTTATTAATAAGCCTATTTCATAAATAAAATACATATAGTATTACATTAATAGATAATCTTAGCTTACAATATATATAATTCTTCAATAAAAAAATGAGATTGAGATGATCAACTAAAATAAAGATTCCAAATATATATTAATATATATTTTATTTGAAAGTAAATAAATATTGTATTGAATCCAAAGAATTAATGTTTTTAAAAATGTATTTTAATAAAATTTAGAAAAAATTAGATTTGAATTGAAAAATGATGGATAAAAAATTGAAATATTATAATAAATTAGATGATGTACCTTTAAATGAAATGTTTGAGAGTAAAGTTAAAAAGTAAATTAAGATAGTAAAGATTAGTGCTATACTGATATTCAATAATTGAAAGTTAATTTTAAATATGATCAAGAATATTGGATTAATTGATTTTAAATCAAAATGTAGAATAATAATAATAATATATTACTTTTATATAAATACAATATCATAATTATAAGAAATAGAGTAATTAATAAAAAAATAATAATTAATAATCAATACAAATCATTACAAAGCTATTATATAATTAGAAGTAACTATGTTTGAAAATGATGGTTTAAAATTTGAAACCAAAAAAAATGAAATAGAAGTTAAATTGTGAAGTAAAACTGTCCATTAATTTATAAATACCATAAAAGATTAGAATTCTAATAATATTGATCTAACATCAATTGTAATATAAGAAATAATTAATAAATTCATTTAGTAAGTAAAACATTATATATATGTTGATAATAAATTAAAATATATCAATAATGTTAATTATAAATTTCAATTATAAAAAAGAATGATTGATAAATTCAGAAATATTTTTAAATATTTATGTACACAAAATGAGTTAGATTTAAATAATAAAATTTAATTAGAATTCAAAAGAATCTGATAATTGCTTATAACTTCTTGATTAATTATAAAATAAATCATAATTTTACATCGTTTTATTATTTTTATTAATTTAATCAAATAAATGGATCAATAGTCCATTTTTGAATATCTCGATAAATTATAATTACAAATAACAGATCCAATTTAAAAGCAACTTCAATATTATCACGATAAAAAAAATATGATTGCCTCTCATAAAAAGCTAACAAGTCCAAAATTATAGTCCCCTCAAGTGATCCCATTATTAAGTGAATAGTTATCTATAAGAAAAACTTTATCCCAATAAACAATAGAATTACCATAACTTGATTAAGGATTGATTATAAATTATCATAAAAAAAGCCATTTTGAGAAGAGAATTACTTTTTAATGATATATAATATTAGTATTATAAATTTATTATAAATGAAATAAGCTTATTCTATTGTTTAGGATGATTTTGAGTAAATTAAATCAATTCAATCAAAATGGAAGAATTAAAATATCAAGAAAGAAAAAATAGATGATACTAAAAGATTAAAATTAAATTTTATAGAAGAATAAAATTATGATTTCCAACTTCCTGATGTATTTATAACTACCAAATAATATTATTCTAAACCTACAAGTATTTGATAACTTATAATGAGAGAGTCCAAGAATGAAATAGAAACAATCCTTCAGTTTTGATTTAGAACCTCAATCCTTAAATTTATCAAAAAATTAAAGAAACTTTGAACTATCAACATTAGAATCTAATTATAAAAAGTTTAAGTAATATATATATAATTATTCTAGGTAATGTTGTTGTTCCATAAAATAATCTCCTAGAGAAGAGAATTTAAGTCAATGTATATCAATTACTAGAAATTATAATTTTTAAAAAATTGATGGTATTAAATTTCCTGAAAGTCTTTATATTATCCATAAAAAGAGAAGAGATAAATTAGATGATATATTCAGAAATTAAACTTGTGAGAATTCTATTTCAAAAATGAAATAATATGAAGATGAAAATAAACGATAATGTATGATTAGAGTTTGAATTTTAGAATTATTAAAATAGAAAAAGAATAAATAAAAGGAATATGTTAGTAGATCATTTTTAGACAATGCTTATTTTTCAATTTTATCAATAAATAAAGAAAGTAGATAAAGAGTAAAAAAAGTAATTTAGTATTCATTGCCAAAACAATCTAGATTTTAATTGTTCTGACACATGTATTTGTGTATAAGGATTGTATAAAAGAAATTTTTAGAAGTGAAATATAAAATTAAAATATTTACTATTATTTAATAATAATCAAACATTTCTTTTGGAAACTAATCTACTTATAACCATAAAATTGTAATTAACTATTTATAAAATTTAATAAATTATTCAAAATATTTATTCTTATTTTAATAAAGTCTTTTTAGTAATAATCATATAAATTACTTTTAATTATTAATTATATAATAAATGCAAGAATATTAATCATGTCAAAATGACTATAATGAAGAAAACAAATAAATTAAATAAAAACTGTTAGAATATTGGGTGAAACTATAAAAATCTTTGGATGAAGACTATGAAGAGATTTTAAAATTAGGTTAAGAATCTGATCCTAATGATATTATTAATGCATTAATTATAATTGAAGATGCTCGTTAGGAATAATAGAAGGTGTATATATGTTAGATAAACTTAGTTAGATATGTAATAATTAGAGGTTTTGACTAAGGAATTGCAATAAGAAAAAAAGAAAATAATTGAATTGTAATAATAAAATCAACACTTAACATAAATCAATTAAAAAACCGATATTCAATTAGAAAAAAGACAAATGGAAATAAAAATAAATGAACTATCTCTTTCATTAGTTTAATGTAAGGAGGATAAAATACTATATATGTAGTAAGCTTAATTAGAAATCTAACATTTAAAAGAATAAGAATAAAAATTAAAGAATAAAATTTAAATGCTTGAATATGGATAATAAAAAAAATTATATTTAAAAAAAAATGAAAATGATTTAAAAAGATAATCAAAAGATTTTACAGATGATGATATTCCTAAAATAAATACTTGTCCTTAAATTTAGAAAGCAAAACTTGATTAATCTAAATTAAGTTAAGTTTAAAATTAAAAAAAAATAATAAAAATAGATTAAGTTTAAGGAGTTTCTCAAGCATTATTTAAATTTGGTATTAAATGAGTTAAATTTGTATTTTATATTATTAATAATATTCATTTAATTTTAGTTATAATTCTTAAACTAATGAAATAATAACAAGGATATTTTTTAAATATGTTAAAATTAATTACAAAAATAATACTTGATTCAAATATATCTGTTTAAACTCTTCAAATCAGTAAATCTTCTATGTTAATCACTTAATTCAGTGGAATCACTTAATAATTATAAAATATTATACGTTTAATGTGTTGTTGAATCTATTCTCTTATGACCACCTAAAGTTTACCTTAAATACATAATGGATTCTTCATTTCTCCTAGTAATCATTTCTAGCTACTCCAATTTTTTTAAGGACAAATGACCTTACTTTGATATTAATAAATTGATACTTCTCTTTATTTTCTACTATCATGAATAACTTATTATAGTTATTATTGAATAGTTTTATTTATTTCATCCTGTTAATCTTATCTCTATTTTAATGACATTAATTCTCTTTCAATTTTTTTCATTTATGTTTCTAATTTTCTAAAAGAATCATTTTATTAATCTGGTTTATTTGCAATCTGACTAATAGAAATTTTTTTATTTTATTGAAAGAGATTATTAAAAATCGAGACTGAAAGATTATTTTTTAATTTTTCATTTTCATTAATTGATTTATCAGATTTTTAGAATGGTGCTTCTATTCCTGATGGTTTATTAATTGCCATTGAAGGAGTTCTTTTTCTATCAGGAGTTATAGTATGTTTAGTAACATTTTTTTAAGAATTTTGATGAACTAATTATTATGATTATATATTAAGATTTTATTATTAGAGTATATTATTTTAGGTTTAATTTGATGCTTATTAATGTTAAGATTAAGATTATTATTATTGAGAATAATTATGATTTAAGGATGGTTATAATGTTGTTTAATGACTAAATGGAACTTGGACAGGTAGAACTGTAGTTTTCTTTTGTAGTTCTTTAGTAAAACTCATTTTATTGAATAAATCTAATTTATCACTATTCATCAAATGAGTAACATCTCTTAATTATGCTTACTATATTTTAAATGTATATTTTATACTATTTAACTTATTAATGTTGAATTTTATCTATTGTGTTCATTTTTTAAATTCTCTTTTTGATCATTATTATTTTTTTATTCAACACTATATGTTTATCTTTTTTAAGTATTCACATTCAATTTAATTCCTGAAGTCAACTTTTTACCTGATTCTTAGGTTTATTCAACACTTGATAACAAATCATTCTATTCAGGAATCAAAAATAGATTGTTTGGTTAATAGGATCCAAAATTTGATTTTTTTTTGGAATTACCAAATGTTAAACCGCAATTCTCTTTTAGATGTTGCATTGCATAATCATCTTCTAATTTTTCAATTATAACTTCTTTTTCTGGAATTTAAGGTTAAATGTGTGATGCCTATTAATAAAAATGAAATTATTGAATACATGATTAAATATCTCAATGAAGTGTTTCTTATCATCTTATTGACATAAAGCATTTCTTAAATCAACTTCTGAATTTGATTAAGTTCTTCTATGCTTGTGTTTACTCATTCAAATTTGAATATTTCTGTTTATTTTATATATTTTATTATAGTTAAACATAATATATTTTACATATTTTATACAGACATCAATTTATTAGTTAAAGAAGATAATTGTAATCATTTAAGTTTTAAATTCATATTATCAATTATCTTAATAATAGATATGATACAAAATAGATTGAATTATAATATTGAATTATCACAAAAGAGAATATCAAATTAATTTAACTGAATTGTTTTATTCAAATTGAAACATAATTATACCAATGTCTTTTTCTTTTTTAATGAAGTTTCAAATATTCAAATGGATAAAACACTTATAAATCTTCTTCCTAAAAATTGTAATTCTAAAATTAACTTTGTAAACATTACCTTAATATTAGAATGCTCAAATGACAAAGATTCTAAAGGTTTTAAAGGAAATTAAATTTATTCAAGTTCTGTACATGTAATATTTTTTCTGCCTTCTTTATGATTCAATAATTTTATATTCATTTTCCTAAATGCCTAATGCAATTCTTATATAGTCTTTAAAGAATATTTAGTTTATTTGAGATGAATCTTTTAATTTATCTATTGTCTCATAAGATCAAATTCTTTAGTAATCTATTAACTAGTGTACAATATTAAATTTGTGATTGGACTCAATGTTATATATATAATTAATGAGCTTAAAATGATTGAAAACACTGCTGTAGATGTTCCAATTAGTATATAATTTTTAAAGAAATCTTCAAAATTATTTTTAATCTGAGTAAGTTGATTCAATAGTTCCTTCTCCTTTTCTAGAAGATCCACTTAACTAAAACCATAAGATTTTAAATCTATTACATTAATAAAATCAAATCAGTTGGATCTAAAATTTTTGCTACTATTAATTCTTCAGTTTTAGTTACTGAATTGTATCTACAAAGTTTTTCATTATTCAATAATTAGTCTATCTTTGTACAATTATTAATAAATGCTTTTTAATACAAGGAATTATTTATTTATTCAAAATCCTCCATTGTATATCCTGATATATCGGTATCATAAATGTACTTATCTTCACTTATATTGAATTAACTTAAAAGAAATTATCCTTTTGAATCAATTATTGAAAACGTTACATTTTCTTACTTCAATTATAAAGTATGAAATAGACTAAAATTTAAATCACTTCCCAAAACACCATTCAATCCTCCATTTATATTTGTCATATTTCTAGTTTGAGTTACCATAAACAAAAACCAAGTCCATAATATATAAGGATCACTAAAATAAGTAAAATTGTAATTTTATTATTCTATCTACTTCAAATGGTTTGTATACCATATTCTTCTATGAGGTTTATAATTTGGAAAAGGATCACCTGGCCAAATAGAAAAGTACATTTGATCACCAATTGTAGAAAATAACAAATCTAATTCCATATCCATAATTGGTAAAACTTAAGTTAAAAAGGAAGAATAATTCATTGCCAAAAAGTCTTTATTTGTAAGAGGATATGCTTAATCTCCAAAAAAGCCATAACAAAATGTTTATTCATATTAATATTTGTCTAATTTATCATCATAGTTTAGACAATTCAATGGCTGCTGTACATATTACAATTCTACTGATTAGATGAATTGATATAAAATATCAGACTTTAATAGATGAGTTTAACTTCTAAGTAATACTTCCTAAGAACTTCTTACTTATAAATTAGTAATCATATCTGTTTTTTTGTAATATTATAGTACATAGAATTCTAGTGAGATATTTGAGTACATATCAATAATGTATTAATAAGCTAAATAACTTATTAATGTTAATAAAGTTCCTATTAAAAATTGAATTATCACTTGAATTATTAAAACTTGTGTTCTTACTTTTAATTTATTAAGACAAAATAAAGAACTAAAGCTTGTTTAATTTTTATGATTTTCTAATTTTTCCATTTTTTAGTAATTTTATTATGAATATTAAACAAAATAATAATATTAACTTTCATTCATATTTATATTTTATTTCACAATCTGATTAATTGATAACATATTATAATTGATTCTATAAATTTAAAAATCATAAGTAAATGTGATAAATATCATTTAATAATAAAATTTAATTATTATTGATGAATTCCATTTTAATAAATTGAATAAATTATATGTATTACTTAGAAACTGGTTTTATCAATTGATTATTATAAAATTCATGATTAAATAAATATATTTATATCATAACAATATGTCAACCAGAATATTGAAATAATCAATACGTATCAAACAAAATCCAAAGAAAATTATCACTTAAAATCCAATAGGAATTAATAAATATTCAGGCTATTTCATTTTATTGATACCTAATATATATTTAATAATTCTTACTTGAAATTTACTTAAAAATAGTATAATAAAATTAGTAGTTTGCAAATAGGTTCAGCATATTATTTATTTCTAATGGACTGATGATTAATAAGTTGACTATAAACTATATATTAATTATATTTATTACTAAACATAAATAATTGTAAATGGTGAATAAAAATAATGAATAAAGAAATGCTTCAATAACAAATATTAAATGAAATTATTGGTCAGGTACAAATTTCTTTAACAAAATAACTATTGAATATCCATAAAAAGTATTAATTATTAGATGTTTTAATATTGCAATAATAAAAGCATGTTTTAAGTATAATATAGAATATATAAATACGACTAACAACTAAAGAATCGATATTAGTAATAGAAATGAAATATTATTGGGCTATTTCAGTTATATTTCTAATGTATGTATTATTACATATTACCATAATTCCATTATAGGGCCTAGAATCTGTGAATATTTTAAATCAAATTACGCTTATCTTTGATTAATCAATAGTAATTTCATTTGATAAAGTGATTCTTTGAAATCATTTAAATTTAGGTGGTAAATGGTCTGTAGATACATTGATAAATCATCATTTGCTGCTCGAATGACTGGTGATTCAGTTTTGAGATCCATTTGAGCTTCTGGGTCCATATAAAATTATGTATAATTAAAATAATTAAATTATGATTATTTTAAATTTAGTTGTGACGGTATACATTAGAATATAAATGTAATAATTATTTATCATCAACCCAATTTATTTGTAGTCTATCTAATAAAAATTTAATGAATTTCTTTGCTCATTGATAATGAATTCTTCAGATAATAGTCTCTTAATTCATCATAAATAGAAATTTAATATGTTTATTATTGATCCTATATATTAATTTCTTAAAATTGATTGACTAATAATACAATTACAGAAAATTCTTGAGGATCAAAAAGTATATGTTTATCTGCAAATATTCTAAATAATTATACTAAAATCATTTCAGGATAATCTTTTACAATTAATAAAAATTGAAATATTTATTAAAGTTCATGATAGAATACTTCTTCAGGTTCAAAAGCATCCATAATCTAATCAAATAATTATTAATAATATGATTCACATGAATTTATTTTGATGATATGATTGATAAGTTATAAGACTTCTGTTTTATGATTATGATTAATAACCTTTTATTATATAATTTATTATAATAACCATTCTAAATTCCCTTAATATTTAAGATAGAATTTAATATGATCTAATTTATTCAAATTCTTATATTATTAACAATCTTATTCAATTTAATTTAATGGATAATTTAAATCTAATTGTTTTTTAAGTCTTAATTTCAGCAATATTCTATTCCTTGAATTTTTAGTCATCATAAATTATAAAGCAAGATCTTAATAGATTTTCAAAAACAATTTAACATTTTCAAATTAAGATTATGATAGTTTTCTATATAATAAACTAATATATTTATGAGATTCATAATTTAATTTTCCATTCTATTAATTCAATATTATATTAATTATAAGAGGATGATATTATTAATATGTATTATCATCCTATAAATAAAGCCATTTTAATAAATATTTAGATTTTATATTGATTGGTATTTGATTTTCAATATCTTCAAGTATTTGATCTTTAATATTCTCATTAAAATATTTATGGTGATTTTTACAAAATAATTTAATTTTTTATTTTAAACTTATATGATCTAATAGATTAGCTTTGTATTAAGGTTGTTCAGGTTTTATTCCAAAACTTAAAATATTTTTAAATAATTAGGTGAATAATTACCCAATTGTATAATTTTATGGAAGTGATGTATTTGAAATGTCCATTAATATTAATTATTACAATTCTACAGAACCCTTTTTAAGAAGAGTATATTTAGTTGCTAAACTTAAATTTGATAAATGTTTGATTGCTATTTATTCATTAATATTCAATCTCAATAGTCTATCAATAGTTTAAATATTATTAGTGTATAAAAGTTATTTTTTTATTTTATTCATTAAAATGAATTCTATGAAATTCTTCAATTAAACAAAGTTATGAAGTATTCTAAATTCTCTTTATATAACTAATATTTTTCTATATGTAATTATAATATAGATAAAATTCCATATATGTAAAATATATTGAAATTAAAGTAATACAGATATATAAATATCAATATTATAATTAATAGTAAATAAATGATTTAAAAGAAAGATTATTTATGTTTGGATTTATATAGATATATCAATAATATCAATAATTTTATCTTCTTGGTCCAGCTTTGCTATAACCAGTTGTTGGTCTAATGCGTTCCCTTTCTACATTCTCTACATATTTGTATGGATGTAAGTGTAATTTTTCAAATTTTGATTTTGTATGCTTTGAATGGTTTTCTGAAATATATTTATTTTAAACAAAACTTAATTAATCAATTGAACCATAAAGACTAATTAAGTAGCATATTGTATCATAAATTAAGAGGGTCTTAAATTGAAATTCTTAATTAAATTAATTCCTGAAATAATATTGATATTTTACCAATCTTCTGTGTCTTTTCTAAAAAGTAATGTTCTTCCATTTGCATCTCTAAAATCTTTAGGACCTACTCCATATATATATGCTTCAAAAGATTCACTATATTCTTCAACAATAATAATTTAAGGAAAATAAGTTGTTAAAACTCTTTTGAGCCATTCAACATTTTAATTCATGTCTTCTCTTTATAAGTAATATAAATTAATAACAAATTAACCTTGATTCCATTATTCAGGTAATGATATTGGTTCATATATATTGATTTATTTATCCTCTTCTTCATAATTTAATTTTTTATCTATATTGCTTTCTAATCTCTAATCACACAAAGCTTTAATTGCAAATAATTTCATATATATTTTAGATCCTTTTTATTCACAGCATATTTAAATTGATTAAATTTCTTTACCTTCCATAGTAACCTTATGTATGGTTGGTTCTGTTTTTCTTAAATGTTCATCTAAATAAAAATAGATAGGATATCCATCAATAACAAGTTTACTTACATATTCATTTTTAACTTCAATAATTAAATTTTCTTTAATTTCCAAATCTACATATTCAGTAACTTTGTCAATTGTAATTTCTTCATCATCTTCATTCTTTTATTCAATTGTCTATTATTCTACTTATTCTGGTAAATCAATTTCAAGTGGCATTTCATCAAAACTTGGTTCTTCTTCAGAATCTATATCAATTATAGGATATGATTCCAAATCTTTAATACCTTAATCAATAGTTAAAGTATTATCTATAATGATAGTACTGGCTTCAATATTCACTTCTTTCAATGGTAATTATCTTTCAACTATAGATGGAATTATCTACATATGAATTTATAATGGAAATCTTAACTACAATAATAGTGCATAAGAATCTAATATCTAATTTAAGAAGTAAAATACATTATAAACAAATGAATGGACTAGCAATATTATGAGCAAATTAAATTTTATCATTGACTTTTTATTCATCTTAAATTATTATTGATGATTGACTCTTTAAATATTGAGTATGTTCTCTATAATCTTCTTCTTTTATTAAAGGTTAAACTTTGAAACTAAGTGAAAGATCTTATTTATCTAATGCTTCAAGTGGTTATTCATAAATTTCATTATCACTTTCATCAGTTAAATCTACAGTATCTGGTTATTTATATTTATGTCTTTGATAATTACAATTATCTGGACTAGGTACATTAACAAATTTCTCTTTGAATTATTATTCAGGTTTAATCTTACATTAATCAACTAATCTAAAATAATTATTATAATTCTATATTACTATATATAATCATCTCTAATAATCTTAGCATTTGTAGACATTTTGAAATAATAATATCTATAAAGTAATGGAAATGTTAATTAAATTTGTGATTCAATTAAATATTATGGATATGATTATATGCTTTTTACATAAAGTGGATCATAAACATCTAAATCAGGTTCAGAACCTGATGAATCTGCTTATTCTAAATCTAAAGGACGATATTCTCGTTTTTTAATATGAAAACCATCTTAATAATCATCAAAAGCACAATCTTTGGAAATGTATTCTGTCTATTCTGTGAATAAACTTTTGATACAAATATTATCCAAATGCATTATATTATAATCAGTTATTTAATCATTATTATAAGTATATATTGAATTAAACTTATTAGATAAACTAAATACCTAATCAATAATTTGATGTGATTACATTTAAATAATAAACTCTAGAAATGAAATCAGGATCTTTAGTATAAGATTCATAATATATATTCTTAGGTTGATATAGATTCAATTTATTTAATGGTTTCTCTTGATTCATTACTTAAGATTTATGTTTATATACAACTTGCATAGATATAGGTAATTTTGATCTCTATTTTCCAAATATTTTGAGTTCTTTCTTTGTTTAATGATCAACATATTGTGGATATTTAATAAGATCAATATAACCAAATCTAATACATCCAAAAATATAATTCTTTGCATTCCAATCTCTCTCTAATTTCTTTTTTAAATCAGTAAATGAATCATAATAAGCAACCATATTCTAATCATTAATATAACCTAATCTTTTCTATTTGAATTGAACCTTTCTTGCTGTATTACGAGATAATAATCTCTAAACAACTAATATACTATTTATATACTCATACTTCTAGCAGATGGTGATAATCTTTCTTCATCATCACTTGCTGTAGTTGTACTTAATTCTTATTAAGACAACATATTTTTATGTACTTGATATGCCTATTTTAAAATTGATAGCATTTATTAATAATTAACAATCATTCCAAAAGAATTATCTTAATATAGACAATCACTATATTAAGATAATTACATTAAATGTTATAATGGTACAGGAATATTTAATTTAGAAACTGCAAAAAACATTCTATCTATCTCAATAAAATAAGAGTGTTCATTTAATTGTTATTATTATTTCAATTTACGATGAATTGTAAAGAATCCTTCAGTCTCAAAATTAATTGGTGTAAGCATAAGTAATAATTATGATAATTTTTATGAATTCATATGTAAATGTTTACATGAATTCATAAATTCAGCATCATTTTACATTATTCTGATTAATGAATTTATTATCCTATTTAATTGTTATTTAGTCTAAATTCTATTATTAATAGTATTAGATAATGGTTAGAGGATTGTCCTTTATTTTTGTCTACTTTTTGAATAGCTGGTCTAAATTGTTCTCTATAGATTAGAGAAATCAAAATTTCTTGTTTTCTTTTACAACTTCTCTGTATCTACACTTTAGTAAATACTTTGTTGTTATTCTAATTTAGATTGTTTATTGACAATCTTTGGTAAAATAGTACTTCTCATTGTTGATTTTGTACCATCTGGTGTAAGTTACCTATTCATATTTTATAAGTATAATATTTATATAATTATTAACTTAAACATAACCAAAAAAAACAATAAGAAAACATAACTCAATTAATAAATGTTAAATTGATTTTAAGTAATAGAAGCAATATCAATTATCTTCTTTTCTATTAAATAATGAGATTCTTTGCATTTAATCAATATCGAATTGATTAACCTTTATTTCTTTTGTCTCATTTAATTATTTTTGAGATGCTTATAATAAATATAAACAATATACTTCCTTTGAGTTTCTTAAAACTACTTAACGGATCTTTAGCATAAAAACTACCAATAGTTGAATCCTCCAATCTAACACAAGTAGGTTTTTTAACAGATGGTAATTATCTAATTTAAATAGATGAACATTTATTTTCTTAAATGTCAACATCAAAATCGAATTAATTTTTACATTTCTAACTTATTCTCTAAAATGGAGATTCAGCTTCTGATAATAATCCTTCTATTGTAGGTTGGAATATATTCCTACTACTAATATTGGATACATTAAATGTTTTGAGCTCTAATTAAATACATAAATATACTCTTTGATTATAATGGAGATGAAGGTTTATTAAAGAAATCGGATTCTAAAGCCTATTAAGCTGTTATTCTTTCAGAAGGATTCTTTACAAGCATCCGTTTAAGTAATTCTTAGGCCTCATAAGGAATTGAATTCATTTCAGATCCATCAAGTGTATAATTACACTTTTTATTTTGTCCCAATACTTCATTAAAAGTATTACCCATAAACAAACTATGGCCAAAGAGTAACTTATAAAATATACAACCACAACTAAAGATATCACACACTTTATCATATTTTTATTGTCTATCAACTAAATTCAAAATTTCAGGTGCGACATATCCAGGAGTACCACATTTTGGAAATTAATACTTAGGAACATCAATAAAGGTTGATAATCCAAAATCCACAATGGTTAGAGTTTCATATGAATCTAATTCACGAAACATAATATTATCTGGTTTCAAATCTCTATGAATGATATTATTATCATGAAGTATCTTAACGCCTTATAGCAATTGTTTCATAATAACTTTAACCAATTTCATTGGAAACATCTCCTTTCTTTGCTAATATATTGTAATTTCTTTTACTTTTAAGATATCCAATTCATCTGCTAAGGTTCGTCCCTACATTAAATCTAAAATGAGATAAAATGTATGATCCCCTTCATATGTCTCATATAATTTGATGAAGGAAGTGCAATCATTTTACTTACTTAAGTGACTTAGGATGTTGACTTCATTTAAAAATGCCTGCATCCCTGATTCACTTTTCTATAGATAACTTTTATCTATCGCTTTTGCTGCCAATTTTGATTATTCATTTCCTAACTCTTTTATTTAGATAACCTTTGCTGAACTCCCCTTTCCTAAATTGTACTATGCTTCATAGAAATCAGCAATCTTGTAGAATGTCACTTTATTTCTAAGATGTTCCTTCAGTCTACTTAATTTTATTTCCATTACTTCTACAAGTCATTGCTACTTCCCACAAAGTCTTTATATTTCTCCATGTACTTGATCGTGAAAGCCTTAAATTGAATTTTCTTATCTTTCCTTTCTACAATCCATCCTACTTGATTTGTCAACTATAATGGTAAAACATATTTTGGAGCGAGATCCTTTGTTTTCTTACATAATCAACATAACTTACTCTACTCATTAACATGTAGTCATTTAGAATATAGCAATAATACTTCACATCACAAATGAAATGTTTGCGAACCAATATGCATTCGAATAAAACATTAGAGTAATCATATTATGATTTCATAAAAATTAAATTAATTAATCATATATCATAATGTCCTGAGTTTTATTAATAATAACATTTTCAATTTTCGCATAAATAGTAGCTTCTTTATTTTTCATCAATTTATTTTTATGAGTAAAATATAAAATATCGTCATTCAATGTTAATCATTTTATATATTTATATTGATGCACATTTTTATTCATTTTACATCCTAATGACATACCATCATTAACATTCAGTATATATTAATTATATCTTTTAAGATAATAATTTAATATAAAAACTCAAGAATGTAAATTAACAATGAATATTCTGAATATAAATATATATTGAGTGAATTCAAGATAAGACATATAATAATTATTTAAAAATAAAATTATTAAGCAAAAATAAAAATCATAATATAGAATTGCTTAAACAGAATTTAATTTCATATATTCTTAGAACAAACAAAAACCTGATTATTGATTTATTTTAATAATCAAAGTAAATACTGAAATCACTATATAACTTCCTAGAATTTTATAATAAAGATTTAAAAATAAAAAAATAAATATATATATGTAAAGATAAGCAATTAATTTATTTATTAAAACTTGTGATATTTTCAATATTGGTGGTTGATCATAAATTCTATATAGAATTTAATTAATTTCTATGCATCCTTTTCTAAGTTTATTATTTTTTCATACTTAACTATTTTCTATCTGTTTCCAAAAAAGTTAAATATTATAAAAATAAAACTCTTACATTTATTTTTAATATGAAATTAACAATGCCTTCTCTTCTTTCATTTCTAATTCTTAATTAACACTGGATTAAAATATTCAAATTACTTTTAAAATATTACAATATTATTCTCAATCGAGATATATTATATAAAAATGATCCTGGTGTTATATCATTGCTTTTAATATTGTTTAAGTGCTTCTTATTAGTGTTCATTATTTCGTAATACAGAATTAATTACAAAATCACGATTACATATTTTATAAATTTTGATGACTTCATGTACAGTTCTATATAAATGAAAAGAAATAAAAGATATTATCAATTAATTTAATGAACAAAGCATTGATTGCACTCCTCACAACTGTTCTCCTTGCAACAACAAACTACCTCACCTAAGAAGATCCCTTAAGAACTTTGTATTCAGAATGGAAATAATAATACTAAACTAGATTTGCCAGCTAATTTGAAGATGAATACAGATTTGAAATCTTCAAATAGAATTACAACTACTATTAATAAGTCAATAGCAAATAATCAAGCTATACACTTGGATTAAATCAATTTGCAACTCTAACAGACGAAGAATTCGAATCAATATATCTTGGTGGTCTTGATGACACTCATGTTGTAGTTGATGAATCTATTACATCATATAACTATCCTGAAACTGCAGATTGGTCAGCAAAGATGAATCCAATCAAAAATCAAGGAGCATGTGGATCATGTTGGTCATTCTCTGCTGTTGGTGCTTTTGAAGCCTATTTCATTGTTAATAAAGGATCATACAACGTATATGCTGAGTAACAATTAGTTGATTGTGATACTTATTCATATGGATGTGATGGTGGTTTTGCAGGAAATGCTATTGATTATTTAAATAAAAATGGTGCTCTTTTAGAATCCTAATACCCATATACTGCAACAACTAACAAATGCTAAAAGGCAACAGGAACATAAAAAGCAAATGGAAGAAAAACATGGAGTACAGCCACATAAGCTTATGAGGCAATTGCTAAATATCCCATTTCTGTCAGTGTCCATGCCTCAAATTGGAAAGGATATACTGGTGGTATCTTCAATGACTGTATTAACACATCAACTAACCATGCTGTCGTTGCAGTTGGATATGATGCCAATGGAAATTGGTTAATTAGAAACTCTTGGGGAACTGGTTGGGGACTCAAAGGACACATTTGGCTCTAAAGCGGAAACACTTGTGGTGTTCTCAGAAGATTAGACTAAGTTATTTGAAAGAAATATATTTAAACAAATATAACATAATAAACTAGAATTCTAAAGTTCTATTCATAAACTCAAGTATATTTTTATAGAGAATTCAATTGCTTCATTATCTTCATATCCCACTATCTTTGTTTTTCAGTATTTAACATATTCAAAGTCTCAATATTATATTTATTCTCCATATCTAGGTATTCTTAAAAAGTCGTATGAAAAACCTCTGAGATTTCTTGTTTGTAATCTTTACTAAATGAGAATTCTTGCACTCTCTTCTTGAACTCCAAAGCACAGATCATTCCTATATAAAAATGGCCTATTAGTATTAATAAAAATGATAAACCTTATTAATGATGCAATAATTCATCTGATTCCTTTTTTTTCCAAGAAGAGGGATCAATCTTACACCAAGCATCTACCACCACTTAAATCTTATCTGCTTCATGATGCACTTAATAATTATATCCAATTTTCCATCTTGTAAGAGCATAGGCTGGATCATTTTCAGGAGGTACTCCTTAAAAATCATCCCATGTTAATTTTCGTATTTCGAAACTATTCTCGCTTTTCGAAATGTTTGGTAAACTCTAATTGATCGAGGCAGAAATCTCACTTTAAGAATTTATTGATCGGTTCAATCGATGAGAGTCTTCGCTTGAATTTATTGATTGCATATTTATTAAAGTTATTATTATTAATGCTTCGAATCTTATACTATATATAAAACATGATATTTGTTACTAATTTATTTAATAGACTTAATCTAAATCAGAAATTCAGATTTACAACCTTATTAAAGAGTAAATTTAGTTTTTATTTGAATTTCTTTATCAAAAAATTGTATCTAAACATGAACACTCTCCTTACACTTATTCATCTATGACAATATTTGCAATGATATTTTTTTAATGTTATGATTATATCTTCATGGTTGCTAATCAATTCACAATATTTTATAATAATAATAAAAGTTAATGGAAGGAAATATAATTTAATTAAAAGCAGGATAATTTGATAGTTTAACATATATATTTAAGAAAAGGTTTCATACATAAAGTAAGTTTTCCAGAAAGCAGACTTTATTGAATGGACAAATTAATTTTCAATTATAGCCCTTTAGAAAATCTTGGATTCGCAAATTAATGAGAAAAAGAAAAAAGTGAAGAAAAATATCTATAATATACTGTTTGTTTAAAAATGCAAGATATTTCTCACGGTAACTTTTATTCATAAGTCAATGCAATCTATCGTAATTACTCAAATGCATTATTTAAGTTTTACTAATTTATTTGATATATTTCATACCATTGTTAGAGGGAATAGGTTTGTTGATGAAGTACAATTATTTGGATAGATCAAAAATTATGCTAATAAAGGAACTTAACTCATAGGCTTTTATTATTTTTGCTATTATTAAACTGTTTGATTGCCCTAATGTTAAGGTGCTTGTCCACTATTCCCACTAAATTTCATTTAATCTTATTGTTAATTGTACTCCTATAAGGGTAAAGCATTATTCTGAGTTAAAGTTTATCCACTTTATGATTGTTGAATTTATTATTATTACAATTGAGGTTGATTTATTTGAGATTGTGATGTTGGTACATTTTAAACTACTGGTTATTACTAAACTTATTGATTAACTTAAGTATGAACTTTTTGTTATTATTAAGGAGTTTCTTATTATTTCTGAGATACAATTGATTATTATTAGATCTTTTAATTTTGATCAGCCTGATGTTAAGGTTATTATTTATGAGTTTAATTTGTTGTTGTCTATTGATTGTGCTATTAAACTTTTTATTATTAAGGTTATTAAGTTTAATGCTATGGATTTTATTTTGATTATTGTTATTGTTATTATTATTATTATTGTTATTATTATTGTTATTATTGTTATTATTATTGCTATTATTATTGTTATTATTGTTATTGTTATTATTAGTTTTGTTATTATTATTATTATTGTTATTATTATTATTATTGTTATTATTGTTATTGTTATTATTAGTGTTGTTATTATTATTAATATTTTTATTATTATGAATTCTAACTTTATTGTTAAATTTCCTTTTTATTTTAAGAATCTTAATTTTACTAAGTTGTATTTTCATTTTATTATTGATTTGTTGACTAAACTTAGCTTTATTATTGTTATTTTGGATGTTATTACTCTGATTATGATTCTTTTAAAACATATATTGGCTATTAAACAAATTCATCATTTCTATTTCTATACTACTTTCTTTAATTATAATTCTTGTTATTGTTATTATTATTATTATTATAATATTGATATTAATTTGTTCTTCTTTAATCCCATGGATCATTATAGGTATTTTTTTAATATCTTTGTTAGCCTCTATCATTTCTATAATTTTAGAAACGTTCTTATTAATTATCATGTTCATCTCTATCTCTCACATCTTCTCTATTGTTTCTGTAATTATAATCCTATTAAGAACTTAAAAATAATGAGATTATATACTTGTATTATTTTTGATTATATCCTTGTCTTTCATTATTTCTTGTGTTTCTTTATTCTTGCTATTTCTAGTATTAATCACTTTATTTTCTATTGTTTTTCTAACCCTCCTCTCTATTAGAGTTTTTTCTATGCTTATTTTGAGATCTTGATTTTTCATTATCATTTGTAATCCAATCAGCATCAGCATCATCATTATCATCCTATTTTAATAGAGATTTTATATCTCTTTCAACTAATTCAAATTTATTATAATGTCTTCTTGCTATATTATAAACTTCACTTTCCTAAAATTTCAATAACACTTCATTACTTTAAAACCATACTAGTTAGAAAGTCTAGAAATTTGATCTCTACTTTACTAATCTAAAGTGCCTTTTTTCTATCTCCACTCGACTTCAGCAGGTCTTTAATCTTTTGTATCACTTTCGTTGTCACTCATTAAAAATATTTATAAAAATTAGTATCAAGAATTCGATTCTTGGGAATTTAAATACCATATTCCTCTTTATAATCAAAGATATATGTAACTTAGAAAATCGATTAATGCAAAGATGTTATTACTTAATTAACATATATGAAGAAAAATTAATATAGCCATTTAATTTTACAAAAATAATTTTCTAGCGGTAAAAACATAAACAAAATAATAATTTACTTACTGATTATAAATATAAGTAATGATTAGGGAATAAGAGTAATACCTTATAAAAGATCATAGTAAAGTAGAATAATGGACTTTTATTCAGAGAGAAGAAATGATTTTGTAATTAGTTTCATTTTCAATTTTATCATATTATTATTATTAATTTAATTTATATGAGGAATTGTATTATTTAATTATTTATTAAATCTTAATTAAATTCAATATTATATAATTTTTATATTATTTTCTTTTAAATTAAATCTCTAGATATTAATTGAATATTTCTCATGAACTCTACATCAATAAAATATAAAAAATTTCATTGTAAATTTCTAAGTCGACCATGTTATGAATTTAAATCATATTTGCCTTACCTATTCATTGTTTTATTATAATTAAATGGAATCATGAAGTTTGTTAGAATGTAATAGGAAGTGAATATGAGAAAAGAAATACTTGATTTATTCATTATTAGACAGTAGATTAAGAGGTCCATACTTGTAACATTTGATCAAACAATTATATAGACACTCTGTTAAAACTTTGATTTATAATTTTCCTTTTGAATATGGAAGACTCATCTATTGATGATTAAGGGTCTTATTGTTTTATATATTATAAAAACAATAATTTACTACACTCTCATCATATATATCAATTTTACAAATAAGGAAAAAAAATAAAAAAATAGAAGTTGAGTAATTTTCAGGGTAATAAAACGCCCAAATTTAATGATGAAGAAAATATGAAGTAAACATTAGAACAGTCTTAGTTCTTTATGAACTAGCCATATAAATAGAAGCTTATTGATTACAATAATAAATATTTGTAATATGATAAGAATTTGATAAAATCTCTAAGTTGATATTTAGTGAAATGAAGAAATATTTCCATTAATATTAATTTTAAAATAATTTTTCAAACTTATTGACATACCACGTTGATGTAAAACCCTTGGAACTTCACTTCAACCTTACAAAGCCAATTAAATAGTAATTAAATTTTTAATGGTTAGGTTTTATGAATATGCAAGAATTCGTGATGCCTTTAGTTCCTCATGAACTAGAAATCAATAACCTTCATCAGATGGCCAGATCAATTACTTTATAAGAGAATTCAGCCATGATAGAAGAAAAATAAGTACAAATTTTTTATATACTAGTAACAAAACCACCCTACAGAAAAAAAGTGCCTCTATAATTCAGAAAACGCTTAGTAAATTGAAACTCCAAAAAGGAGTTGTCATGATTTCAATAGAGAATCTCCTTTTGTAAAGATCAGTGTGTACAAGCAGCACCAAATGGCTAATTAAAAAATATACATCCTTTAAGATGACAAGTAATAATTTCTTAATTAGTTTAGGATTATTGGTAGCAATCAAATATAAAAAAATGAAATATCAATTATACGTCGTAAGAAGCAATAACATTTAGGAGATAATAATATTGATTTGGGTATTTATTTTAAATGATCAAATTTTTAGGTCTTTCTTCATAAGAATCTAATATTGAATAAGTCCCTTGTAAAATATCAACAGAATTCGGTTTCCGTCATTCAAGTAGGGTCACTCCAACTATTTTATGTTTCTTATCATTAAAGTATTTCCACACCAGATTTTAAGAATTACCTTCAAATATCTTCAAACTTATTCACTCATTTATCAAGTAAATATTCTTTACATTTTAGAGAAAAACCAAAATTCTATGTATCGGATTGTGGTACTGCTTTGAAAACTTTAGTTAGAATTTAAAAAGAGAGTCCAAGAATAATGAATGAAAACAATAATTATTTAATTGGAGCTGATTTCTATTTTCACGTAGTTCAATTAAATTCAATACCAAAGTTAATTGAAAGTAAGAAGAAGGATTAAGAAACTCCAATGGAATATTTCTTTTAGACCCTTGTAAGAGAAAATGAAAAATATAGAGCTAGAATCCATGGTTTGTCTAAAGAAGAATAAGAATAATTCTAAAGTATATAATTAATTAATTGTAGTATATTTGGAAGAATATAGATAATTAAAGAAGAAAGGAAGGAAATAATATCATCTCTAAAATTGTAATAGACCATTCCTTAAAATATAATTTGATACACCAATATCTAAACAAATTGCTGTCTTCATTGGTAAGGCTGGATATGAACAAACTTTTAAGATTGGAAGATCTTAAGATTGTGACATTATAGTCAATATGAATACTGTGTCTAGAAAACAAACTTAAATCAAATTTAACAAAACATAATGGGAAATATGTGATGGTGAGGGTATAAGATAATCTGCTAATGGAACTTGGTAATCCTTATAACCATATGAACTACCTTTATTGGCTACAAAACCAAAATAAAGTGATCCATATTTGATTGAGGATAAGATGGAAATTAAAATATGTGAAAACATATTTAAATTTGAAATGGTGGGATTTGGAGTTTCAAAAAAGTAATATTATATAAATATTATTAGACGAAAATTGACTAATACATTATACTAGGAATTAACTTAATACGATTGAATTTCATTTTTTTCATGATTTCGAAAGTTTTATATATATATATTAATAATAATAAATGTTGTTTTTTATATTTTTAATAATTCAATCATCTTGTATATTAAATATATTTATAATTTCTTAATAGAATTATTAATATGAAGATTAAAAAGGAAAACAAAAAGAAGTCTTCTTCTTATTCAGAAAGAACCCATTAAAATATGAAAAATAAGAAATAATAAGCCAAAGAAAAAGTAAAAAATACAGATTTGGGAAAGCCTAGAAATTTAAAAAATATTACCTTTGAAAAACCTAATATTTGGGCAACAAAAGAAGGAGCAATTAGAATATTAACCTTTCTTATGAATTAAGGTAGACATTTTCTACTCCATCCTGCAGGAGCAAAGAAGTCCATAATTAATGAAGAAAATGAATAAAATATAAAAGAAAAATAGGACTTCTTAAACTAAATTAATAAATTGAAACCATTATATGATTTATTGGAAAATATACATCAAACTTTTCTTGGATTTCCATAGAAGTAAAAAAAGAAAGAAAGATTAATAGTATTTTTTTTTAGAAATAATTGTGATATTGAACCTCATTATGATAAAGTAAATCCTTTAGAAAATTTTCATTTTTAACAGAATTTAGAAGAAATTAAATTTTAACTTGATAATGTCTTTTATAGAGAACTTTATGATATTTTAAAATAATTGGAGGGAAATGAACATAATATATAAGATTAAATTAAATTAATTACTTAAGACTTAGTCAATTAAACCAATAATTTAGATGAAATCTCATTAGCTAATACAATTGTTAAGAATTTATTTATTTAGTTATTAATAGAGTAAGAAAATCATAATTTATAATTATTGGAAATGATTGTTGAAAAATAAAATAAGAAATTATTATTATAAATCTTTAAAGAATTTATAAATTAGAATTCATTCAGAATTACAAAGTTTATAACAGAATTAGTACAATTAATTCAAGGAGATGATCTAAACAATTCGATTGAATGTACTTTTTAATAAAATAATTATGATGAAAATTGTATTATATAATAAAAATGGTAATATTTAGAAAATGAAAACTCCGTATACTTAAGTGATTGATTATTATTATGATGATTTAGATATAATTTCTATTTTTTGATTATATGTTTTATTAAATCATTTTTTAGGAGAAGAAACTGAAATTCATAGGTTAATTTAATTCAAAACTAGTCATTTCTCATTTAAATTATTATTTATAAAAATATTTTACTAATCTTAGACATTTTTGATTAATGAAGAAATAATAAAAAAAATAATAAATTATTGAAATAAAAGTTTAGTATATAAATTTCAATAAATGTATATATTTAGTTTCATCTTCTTTTGTTGATAACAACAGCTTATTTAGGAAGTTTAGTTTCTATAGATTCATGTTTTGGTCTTTTGATAGAGATTGGTTTTTTATTAGATGGAGGATTGTTATTAACTTTAACACTCTTTTTTATAATTGTAGATTCTTAACTCTTAGTTGAATTTGGCTATCTATTTAAAGGTTTCTCTTTTAATACATCTTGATCAATATCATGATGATTTTCGAATTGAGCAGTGCCAATAGATTAATATTCAATATTATTTTCAAGTAAAGCTAATTAACCAAATTAAGCAGCAATTGATCCAGTAACATAATATTCTTTAATGGATTAAGAAATAGAAGATTTAACAGATTAAGGTTGAATATCTACATTCTATTTTTCTACTTTTTTTGGAGATTCTTCAAATTATTATTTACATGTTTCATTTTAATTACTATCATCTTGATATTGAAAAGATTCTTTATAAATCTACACATTATCTTATTCTACCTCTTCATTATTTAATTCACATAAAGTAACAACTTACTATTAAGTAATTGGTTATGTATTTTAAGGTATTTAAGGTAATTAAGGTAATTAAGACTCTTATTCTGTTATTTATAATTAAATTTCATATAATTATGTAAAAGAAGTGCTTAATTCTTTCATAGTTGGTCTGACATTAGGATCCTATTAAAGCATTTATTTGATAACATTTTTCAAAACATATCCATTTCTTACACCAAATTCATCAATAGCTTCATTTATAACATCTAATATATAATATTAATATTTACTTTGATTTAAAGTGAAAGTTTATTTATCATAAAATAATTATACATATCCATTTCCCCATAGTTCTAATGCAATTAATCCTAATTAATATACTTCACTCTTTTCATGATTGTATTGAGGTCTTAAATCCTTTTTTGCTAATGCTGTTACTAATTCTGGAGATAAATACCATAATCCATCACTGGTGAGAATGCGTTTATAATGATTATATCCAGTCAATTAAGTACAATTATTTAATTTGACTTCTCCCTTTGATTTATCAACAAGTACAAAATCAGGTGTAAGATTTCCATGAACTTAATTATGTGTATATAATTCACTCAATCCTTCAGATAATGATTTTAAGACAAATAAACAATTTATTGATGCTTGGTTACTTATTTCCCTAAGTGTGATATCATAATATTCATATAAGGCAGAAACCTTATAAAATGTACTTCATAGATTAGATTCTTCTTAAGTATCCACTTCAACCAATTTTACAAGCTACTTTATTCCATTTTATTATTAATTCTCTTTTAATATCTTACATAAATTAATATAGTCTTCTTGATTTTAACAAGTCTTTTAAACCATTGCAAATTAACTTCCTTAAGATTCAACTATTTTGAATGATCCATATAAATCATTCTCCTTATACCCTAAAATTTTGAAGTTCTTTGATTTAATAACTCCCTCTTTTACAGATTGTTGTGCTCCCATATACGCTAAAAAAATAAAATATAATAATAATTAATCAGTTAAATAAAGTATCAGTTAAAAAAATAATCAAAATTAATATCCACTTTTTATTATCATTTAATCTAATTTTACTCACATACTACATTTACAATTGATCTCATTTGTAATTATTTTATCAAATATGAATTATCTAATATTTTAGTAAATAGAATTAAAATTTTAATTATTATTATTGATACAATTATTTAACAATTAACCTTATATTTAATTTAAAAACTATTAAAAAAGAAAATAAATGATTCATCCATAGATGATTGATTGTTTATTTAATATCCTTTGCAATCATTTATTTATGTTTTGTTTGTTTTATAACAGATAATAATGCTTTATGAATTTGCATTAACATATTTTACTAAAACATAGTATAATATACTAATTCATATTCAATTTTCATTTAATTGTTTTGAGATCATCTAAATGTTGAAAAAATCGACAATTATAATAGAATCTCTTCATATTCAAACTAAACATAGTATATTATCCTCCATCCTATTAAAAAGAAATAAAGGAAGTATCTAATAATATTTATTGATTAAAATGTTATATAATATATTATTAAAATACATATTTGATTTCATAATATAAATCTATAAGGAAGTAGGATATGCATGTTGATTAATATTGAATATTTTTATATAATTCAATTTCACTGATCATACCAAACTTATTCAGCTTTTTCGTACATTTTTGGGGACCAAAATTATTAAGTTGCTCCTCGTGGATTCTCAGATCTTTCCCTTTCAAAATTTTTAATTTTGTCTTCTCCTTTATCTAATTTAGAAAATACTTTTTAGTATTTTGAATTTATTACAATCCTTGTTATTATTACTTCGTTTAGTCTCTTTAGAAATTTATTTAATTAAACTAAAATTTTGCATTCTGTTAATGCTAAATTCTTATTAGTCGCAAAATAGAAATACTAATAAAAAGAGGAAATAAATTGATCAACAATATCTGCAGTTCTAAAAGGAGAAAAATCTTAATCTATATCATTTCCAAATTATTCTTAATAAATATGATAGTTGCCAATATCATCTTAGATAAGGAATTATCTAGGGATTTTAATACTCCATTATTCCCTTAATTAGTTTTCACTATTAATTTGTTAATGATCACGTTCAAATAATTTCGCATAACCTTCTGTTAATAACATATTCAAAATTATGTCTAATGCTTAATATTCTGCATTACAAGTTTCATGTACATTTCTGATTGTTAACCTCTAATTATCTATTGTTATTACAATTTCTGTGTCTTAGTTGAGTTGTCTTTGTTGGATTTGTGATACTTTATTTTTAATGAGGCAATTTTTCCTAAAATAAAAATTCTTTTCTTTAATAGATTTACTGAATTAGTCTTCATCTAATAATATTTAATAAATGTTCAACCATTCTGAAAAAATGATGGCTTAAGTTGTTTCTAATCTACAATTCATTTTTTACTCCTCTGTTTTGTCATCAGAAACTTTTTAAATTATACTTTCTAGGTATCTAATTTGATAATAAAAATTAATCTCTCTGCGCTATTTTTGTTCATCCGAATAAAAGTTTTAAAGATCTTCAACAGTTTATGGGGTTATAGAAGATTATGGTTATTGTGATCTTAAATTTTCTATTCTTATTGATGAAGACTAGAATTGTAGATATTATTAGGTTCTAAATTAATATTCGAATTTTAAAGCCTAAGATAATGATTCTAATGAAGCTATTCTTGCTGTATATTGTTCTTTTTCTGATTTTAATTAATTTATTTAGACAGATTATTATGAATTTTAATCAATTAATTGCTAATTATTACTTTTATAATCTTTTAGCATTCTCAATTTTTATTAATTTTCGTTTTCTATTTATTCTCTTTTGGCCTCAGATTCTTTTAACAAATTTTTGTAGGTTTCTATTTAACCTTTTAAGCTTTTCTATTTCCATTTCATGATTTTTGCATTTTTCCTTTAGATCTATTTCCTCAACAGTTTTATAATGAAAATTTTTCTCATATTTATCACATCTTTCTGATTTTATTTTATAAATCTGATTATCTTATTTAACTTAATCTAATTCTTTTTATAATTTTTATATATTTTAATAGGCTTCAAAAACTGATCGAATTTCCGAATCTCTAATTGCTATCAATCTAGAAAAGAACTCTATATTATATTGATTAACCTGCTTCCCCGTTACTTAGTCATATAAATGCACTTCTGAATAATCATCCATTCTTAGTTCATTCATAATCATATCATAATCTTTAGGAAATTATCTCTCCTATCCATTTGGAAAGCAAATTGTGATTTACTCTTAAATCATTAAATAAAAATTATTTATTATTAATAATAAAATCAATAACTAAAGTTAATGTATAAATAGTATGTTTTTCTTATGATTTTAAACTACAATTAGAAAAAATCTTTAAATAATTAAATAAGTTATAATAATGAAAATAAATTAGTCATTTTTTAATTAATGTTTAATATTGTATAATCACATGACTTTCCAAGATTTTAAGTCAAAACTAGTATTGAATATAAATAAAATGTTTACAATTACAACTTTATTAATTTATCTTTGATAACTGTAAAGTAAATCAATCCATATAACCATCCTAAAAGTACAACAGTTTTATAGGGAAGTAGATGCAATAAAAACAAGGATACGCTTGCTGAAAATTAAGTTCCAAATAAATAACAGCTAAATAATAAGGTAGCATATGTCCCTCCAATAGTAGGATCAGCAATCCTCAAAAAAAATCCAGATAATGTGCATGATATAAATGAATTATTGAATTCATATAAATATTATAATATAAACTAAGTTTATTATTGTATAATTTACATAAATAGTTTAAGTAAACTTATTGTATCCTCCCATCTTTAAAAAACTAATTACATATACAAAATGAGTTCCCATTACCAAAAACATTAGATAATAAGCATTTAAGACCCAAGACATTTCTTTCCCTCTTTATAAGTATTTACCAACCAATAATGAACTCAATATCCAAGAAGTAGTACATATAGCTTCAATGGATGCATATTCAGATTAAGGAAACCCCATTTAAATTAAATTCAATGAAGTTGATGCTATTACAGGAGCAAATGCAAATCTCCTTGTTAATAGAAAGAGTAATAAAAATCTTAAATTTGAATTACTTAACAATGAAAATGATAATTTTAACACTTATATAAAATTAGGTTTTTCTTCTTCTATAAAATCTTCAGTAGCTAAACATTAGGTTATAATTGCAATAAATAAAATTAAAGACCCTAGAATATATGTGTATGAGTTTAGTGATATGATTGGTTAATCTAAACCCAAATATTATAGACAAAAGTATGGGGATGTGATATTCATCAAAATAGCATAACTAAATACATAACCTAATGATAATCCAACCATTTGACAAGTTGCCCCTAAATGAACATAATGTTTTGAAAAGGATGTTAGAACCCATCCGTTAGTTGCTATTGTTGCACATGCTTACAAAATTGTGAGTAAAATAGTTAATCCAAACAAAGGATACAAATTAAGTTCTTCTATCCATTATGAATATCCATTATATGCCAAAGTTATAAATGTTAAACCAAGCATATACAAGGAAGGTATCACATATGTCTTCCTCTTTCCAAAATAACTTATATAGAAACTATCTACAAAGGGAGCCAAGATTAATTTGAAAGATAATGGATAAAGACAAGTAACCCAAAATGCTATAATCTAATTAATTTACTTTACCCATTTAACCTGATGTAATACCACTTCCTTAAAGTAGAAGAGTCAATGATGCATAAAATCCAGCTGGTATTCCAATCACAAAATATAATACAGTAAATCTTATGATTGCTTTTCTTTCTGAGTTCGATATTTAAGGTTTCATTTTCTCAGAGATTTGCTCTTCTATTGATAGTTCTTATGGATCATCAATTTAGAATTCATTCATTTCTATTTCTTCTTTCGCATGCATTTTTTAAATTAATATAATAATATTTCATATATATGTTAGAATATTATTTCATGTTAGCTAATAAAAATAGTCAATCAAATGATGAATTTAAAAATGGAATCATATTAAAAAATACCATAACTTAATTTGTTAAATAATGTATAATAGTTATATACATTCAATTTTTCATCAATTAATTTTAGATCTTCCATAAAAATACTCTATTAAACAATTACAACTGTTATGGACTGTTAAACATACAATTAAGTTAAATTTATCTTACATCTAAAACAAACATAAAAATAAATATTTATGTTAATTTTATAATCTATTTTTATCATCTATATAATTTTAACAATTTCCTATATAAAAATATTACCTTTATTTGGATAAAAAAAATATAATAATATTTTCTACATTAAAACTCTTATCCAAAGAAGAACTATACTAGAATGATTTTATTTCATCTTAGGAAGATAAATTTTGAGTATATATTTAATTCTCTGATACTAAATACAATATAAAATTATTGAAATACCAATATATGAAAGATATATTATTTGTTTATTTAAGATTTTTATTAAATTGATTAATATTAAAAATAATGTGAGTAATCTGAAAGTTTTTAGAATAATATTTCTCAATAACATTCTTTATCAATATTCATTTAAACCAAGAAATGATAATGTAAAAATAAACGATCTATTATATAATTCCTTTTTTTTATTTCAACTTATCTATTAGTTATTAAATCAAATCATCCTTCTTAAATAAAATTATTATTATTTGCAGCCATATATTTATAACAATTTCTAAGAGTTTATAATAAATTTATAGTTGCAAAGTTAATATTATTAAATACAAATCTTTATTTCTAGCGTATAATATTTCTAATATTCATATATACTAATCTATGAATGATAATTCTTAAATAATAATACTTAAAAATTATGAATTTAATAATGAAAAATAATTTGAAATACATTTGTAATCTTTTAATCAAGTTATTATGAATTATAATTATATATTATTGATCAAACTTTTAATGTATCTCTATTCTATTAAGCTTCCAAATTTAGAGGTGTTTTCATCATTGAATTTTAATCCAAAGTATGAAACCTTTGTCCATTATTTTATTATTTTTTGCCTAATATTTAAGATTCATTCTGAAAATCAGCATAGAATTCACCAACATTCATTAATTATACTTTTGGTTTTTTTCTATCGGAATATCTGCAAACTCGACTAACTTTGTTTGGTGAAAATGCTTATTATTGTCTTGCTTGTACTATTTATGATTTTGCTCTTGTGGAGATAGTTTAAGTTTTTGTATATTATGTAGAAAATGCAGCATCTTATTCTAAAATTGGAGGAACATATGGCTTTTAACAATGTTAATTTTAATAGTTAATTGTAATCTGTTGGTTTCCATTATTTTGAATAACAAATTATAAAGGTTATAGTAAATTACTAAATTTAGGTGGCTATGCTTTCTAACCTTCAAGTTCTTTAATTTAATTGTAAAGCTTATAAAATTGTTTGTCAAAGAATGTTTTATTTGCAATCTAATCTATGAAATAAAATTATGCTTACTCAATTATAGTTATAAAGATAACTAATCAATCAATAATATCATCATTCTATTAACAACTGAATTGTACTCGTATTCAAGTTTTTTACTTAGAAAACCACTATACATATTGAACCAATTAAAATTAATTTATTTTTTTAGAAAAATACATTACATTTTATGAATTCCATTTATTACTAATAATAATTCCATATATAATCTAATTTTCTTGAAGCTAAATCATTATATTTTATTAAGTATTCAAAAATCTAGATTATATAACCAATCAGGTTCTACTACTAAAATTTATATATATATATAAACAATATTTTAGTATTAGAGTTGCTAACTACTTTATTACAAAATTTAGCAAATTAAAATTGATTTTCAATTTAAATAGATTTATTACATTTATGCTTGATAAAATCAGATAAGTGAATAGAATACATTCTTGAAAAAAAAAAATACATATAAATATTATCATGAAAATACTTGTAAAAACGTTTTAATATGATTACTATGAATTATTTAATGAAATAACTTAACTAAAAAGAATTCATCATTTAATTTAAATTCGTTAAGGAAATAAAATCATACATCAAAATTAACAATTTTACTTTTTCATTTTATTTCAATATGAAAAGAAAAATTAATAACAAATAGTAATTCGAAAAAATTGTAATCTGTTTTTTTGATTATTAACAATATTAATTTTTATATTGAATGGGAAATGTTTGCTGTATAAATTAAGATGTTAGGAGATTGAATATTCAACCAATGATTCCATTGATTCCAACTGATGAAGCCTCTTTAGATGAAACTAAAATTGTTAAATTACAATCAAGTATTCGACGTAATAAATGATTTCATTACAAGGTTACCTCGCAAAAACAAAATAAAAATAATAATCAGAGGCTTCAGCAACTACAGCAGTTTAAGTTCAATCTAAAGTGACTGAATAAATAGTTTCGATAATTGAAATGATTCCAATAGACGCATAAAAAGTAGAGTGGCCTTAAAATTTGCTTTAAGCTGTTCAAAACAAATTAAAGGAATTGCCACCTTTAGTGTAATTGACACATTAATGTTATCTATTGAATGATGGTTGCTACTATTAAGGACCTTTTATAGATTATAAAAAAGAAGGATTTGGAAAATAAATCGATTAAGATGGTTCTTTATATGAAGGAACATTCAAATAGAACGTAAAAAAAGGAAAAGGAAGATAAATAAGTTGTGATGGAAGTGTGTAATTCATATAATATTATCTAGATATGAAGGAAATTTTGATGATAATGAATATGATGGTTATGGTGAATTTTAAGATTCTTATGGGTTTGTATATAAGGGAGAATGGAAGTAATCGTTATTTCATGGAGAAGGTCATGAAATAAATGATTAATTCTAATACAAAGGTGCATATAAATAGGGATACAGAACTGGATACGGAGAAATTGTATATGTAGATGGAAATAAGTATATGGGAGAATTCCAGAAAAACAGGTTTGAAGGTCTTGGTATTTTCATATATGCAGATGGAAGGAAAGTAATAAATATTGACTTAATATTTTAGTATGAAGGCAGTTGGATGAATAACCAGATGCATGGAAAAGGTACTTTTACTTGGCCTAATGGACGTAAATACACTGGAAATGTATTTTAATCTATTTAATAGTTTTAGTATCATTTAGATTTGAAGGAAGGATTTGGTGAATTCTTATTTGAAAATGGAAGTAGTTATAGGGGAATGTGGAAACAAGGTAAATAGCATGGACATGGAGTGATGATTTCAGAATTAGGAGATTAAAGAGAAGGAGAATGGGTTGAAGGAAGAAGAATAAAATGGAGATGACTATTACTTTGACTGATTTTAATTAGCTTCTTTAAGTAGTATTTATTATTGCAAACTTACTTACTTATTTGATAGAATAAATAAATAACTGAATAAGAAATATCAAATCATTAGTCTATCTTAATCAGTATTTCTTATAGATAATTGACTATGATTTTTATTACTTTCTAGCATTGTCTTAGATGAAAACCTGAAGATGATATATTTTTGTTGTTGTTCCATCAGTTACTTACAAATTTCATATATTTTTAAATAGTTATAGAAAATTATATTGTTATATTCCAAAATTAATTTTGATCATACTATTTTTTAAATGTTAACGAAATTAATGAAGTACACAGAAAGGATAAAATTATGAAATAATCATTCTGCTATTCTGCTTTAAATAAATATAATTATTTGATATAATGTTAGATTACAGTTGAGAGAGTAATAGAGTATTATCTATTTAATTACACTGAAATTAAGAAAATGTAATTTTCAGCCTTAGTAAAAATACAATAGATCTTTTTTATAAGTATCCAAAGTTTAGATCATGAAACAAAAGGTGTAAATAACTTATTTTTAATATTATCAATATAATTGAATGTATTTATTTTTTAAATAGATGAAATTTATTAATAGTATTGTTTGAGATTAAGTTATTTTTGTTAAAATATCTAATTTTTTATTTTATTTATAATCCCTTTCATGCAAATAGTTAGAGTATGAAACATAAAGGAATTTATTTATATAAATATATATAAAATGCTTAATTTATATAATACTTTAAATCTTTCATATTATGTTTAAAATGGTTATTATTAATATATAAATATATTCTAAAATCTTATATACATGTGGTTATTAGTCTAATTTAAAAAGTGATTGAATTATTTAAATAGAAATTGTTATTTGTAAACAAAATTTAAACAAATATTTATTATAGTGAGACAATTAATCGAAAAAGAGATAGTATTCTTTAATGAATTAATTTATTTTGAGTATCAGTAATTTATCTATATACCTCATAAATTGAATAATATAAGTTTATATAGTATAGTAAAATAAATATTAGAACTCATAATTGAGAATCAGGATTATAATGAATGAGAACATATATAAATATAAAAACATTTAGATCACAAAAAGATAAATTTCTAAACTGTGTTAGATCATATTTTTTAGATATAAAATAATAATTATTTAATCTAATAAAATGGATGTAAGACTTCTTAAATATGATATTTTTGCATCTCCTGTAGCAAATAAACCTTCAAAGGGATATCTTCCAAAATTTGGTGATAGAAGTTTGACTTCATTATTGAAGTATAAAAATGAAACAATAAAATAACCAATTCATTCTAAGATATTCAAACCATATGGAGAGGAATCAGAAACAAAAACTTAATAAATCATGTATACAACTGCAAAGTTGTCTTATTCAAGTTCTGTGAAAAATATTAATAAATTTCCAGAAGTTCAATTAGATCCAAAGGCTGTTAAATTATTAGGATAGGGAAGACATTATTTAAGAAGTGATTATTAAACAAAAAGAAAATAATAAGAAGATAAATAAAATAAAATTAGAAAGAATCATTCATCTGATTATTTGATGTAAAATATACAACTGAAGTTTTGTGAGAAATCTGTAAAATCATAATTTAAAGCTAATCTTATTTTCTTTAAGAAAACAAAAAATATTGCAGCCTAAATTTAATTATTGAAAAAAGAAGAAGAAAGAAAATCAATGCCTGATATAAAAAATGAGAATTATGATTCAAGATAAAGAAAAATAAAAATACCTGCTTAGAAATAATAACATACTGATCATTCTATGTTTTCAAGCACTTTTAGAGATAACTTTTTGAAAAGCCAAAGGAGTAATATGCATCCAAAACCAGTTAGTTAAGAGAAATCTACAAGACAGGGACATAAAAAGACTCAATCTGTCTAGTAAAGCTTATTTAATAATAGTTAGAACTTAGAGTCAACTAGAAGAAGGAAATAAAGAAGTGCCACTTTTCAGCAATAATTATCAACCTAATAATTGATATTCTTTTAAAATTTATATTTCTAATTTAACTATTATATAATTCAAAATTATGTTTTAGATTATCAAAGTGGATTAAGGTATTGATGCTAAATTAGAATTTGAAATATCTAATATAGTAAAGGCTGCTTATGAGAGATTCAATAACTAGTATGATCGATCGAAATATATCTCTGATTATTTAGATGAAAGGTATGGAGGGTGTTGGAGAGTAACAATAGGAAAATCATTTACAAGTTGTGGAACCTATTATTTGTCATAATTGTTAAGATTTAGTTATTAAAATGATTAAATAGAAATTGTTAGAACATAGGGAGATTCAGAATTTGAAATAATATAAAGAGATCAAGGAATGAATTAGGCTGTATTTGATTCAATATTAGGAATGTAATTATATATTTTAAATAGAGAATTTAAAATGCTTAATAAACATAGAAAAACCTATCTGGTCAGGTTGAATATATTTCAGAATGTGTGGAATCAAAACATACTGGCAAATGGGCTGTGATTTGTGGGTAATTGTGTATACATAATTTAAAGGTATGACTTTAATAGTCGAGTACCTTATGTTAATAATAATCTGGTTTGTGTAGCCAGAAAGGGTATTAGATATACAGTATTAATGATAAGTAAATGAATATAGTCATTGCTATAATTTCAATAATCTTTACAAAGAAAACTTGACACTAGTATTTACAGTTTCAACTTTTTCTAGTTTTATCATTTTATTTGACACTGAAAATAAATGTTTAGGATCACTCAAAATTCCCTAAGAAATCCTCATTTACATTTAATTTTAATTGGATCCAATAGGTCCTTTAATTGAGACTCTTGAATTAGTTACTTCTTGTATGGTTTGTTCTCTAATACCTTAATCTTAAGTTTATGTTCGTATTTCATTTTGTTGAGTGAATTTGTTGACTTCTTTAACAAAATAAACATTGATTTTATCATCTTTAAATATAACTTTTGGTGATATCATCTTATATGTATCTCCATCTTTAATTTGGTTACTTTCTTAAAAATCTTTCTATGTAGTTTTTAACAATTTTTGAGATGTAGATTTCAACAAAGTTTAACTCAAGCCTTTCATTTAAATTTTTTGATACTTTTCTATTGTGCATGTTTTTTAGGAGATCCTATTCGAGTAGAAAAATATATTTTATCCTAATGTTAATTAATTTCTTATTTTTTGAGTTCTAAAACTTTTATTGACGATTTTCTAGCATGATTGGCAGAAGAAGTTATATCTTAATTAATCGTTAAAGATGTTCGAGTTCTTTTACTGTTTATTAGTCTATTTGATCCTGATGAATTTTTCATTTGATTATTAATTAATCAATTATAAAAGCTTAAAATAATAAAATATTATAAATTTATATAAACTAGCAGTAATTTTATTTCTTAAGAAGGATTATATATTATATTAATTTAGAAATTATAAGAATAAGAAATATATATTTATTAAATCATAATTAATTAAAGGTTATGAAAATTCAATATATGATTATATAATTGAAGAGAGAATAAGAGAATTTATAATTTTAAAATACTGTTATTTATTATTTCAAAATAATACTTTTGATAAATATAAATTAGAATATTTTAGTAGGTAATTCTCAAATAGATAAATAGATAATTTATAGATATTTAATTAAAATACAAATCTTGATTAATCTATATAAAATATAATTTAGAAATGTTTTTTTAAAGTATATCATTAAATATGTTAAAATAGTATAATGTTATTATACAATCAGATTTATATATAATTTATTTAAGATAATTTTTAATTCATATTAATTAATAATTTTATATTGTTTATGGAAAATTTGTATTCTTTATTATCATAGATTCTATTGATTACTACATCTGTTATTTTATTGATTTCTATGACAATTGCTTTTAGAAAAATCATGAAAGATGTTAATGATATTTTAGATTCAACTGATAAACTTGTATTTTTTATTGCAGCAATTCAATGTACTAAATTTTGAAATTTAGAGTTATTGTTATTCGCATTCATAATTAAATAATATACACTTTTCCTAAGTGGATTGCGCATACTCAGAATGCTATAAGACATTATGCTATTAAATTGTTTAATCAAATTAGATAGTGATAATGAATAATGTTTAGTAATTATCAATAATATATAGCTTATCAGAAAATCGTAGATAAAATCTCCAAGACACTTTCATTTATTCTACTATCTGTTTGGTGTGTCATTATTTTTTTAGAAGGTTTTAAATCACATTTTTAATGTGATCAATAAATCTGGATGCTACTTTCTGGATTACTATTACTTACTAATATCATTTAATTATATTTTGGACTCAATATATTAATATAGATTTACAAATATTGTCAAGATTCAAGTAATTAACATATGTTTGATGGTTTACATAAAATTATGATGGATGAATTATAAAATAGGAAGGTATAAGTAATAGTCTTTGTCCTTTGCAGTATTAATTCATCTGTTATAATGTTATTATATGATTACACTATTTTTGATCAACTTAATCCTACATTCTGTCTACAAAAGAGTACAATTACTGAAATTCTTATTTATATTGCTGTCATTATAGTCTCATATTAATTACCTTGTTTAGGAATATACTATGTGTTTTATCATAAAAATAAAAAGTATTTGAATAATCATAATTGGGAAATACAAAGAAATATAGTCAATTTCTATGATGAAAGAAGTGAAATAGAATTGGGAGATTATTAAAACCCATAATGAGTCCATTTAATTCATTCTGATTTTTATTCACAACTAATATAAATTTATCACTGTTTTTTTTCATTGGCTATTAATCAATTCCCTGTAATCTCTGTAACAAATATATTCCTTTTAGCATCTCTAATAAACTCTTGCATTATAAAACAATCCATTGTTGAATTTATCACACACAATTACTCAAAATATTTATTCAATTTCATTTATCGATCTTAAACTCTAGATAAATTCTAATTTGTTTTTCCAAATAAAGATCGTTTTGGAAATTTTGGTTTTTCTACTTTAGTTTTACCTAATTAATCATCTAGAGTTTTTAATTAAGAATAACGATATTTTGATAAAAATGTTTCAACTTATCCTTCAAATCTAATTTAATATTTAAATGTCTTACTTTACTATGTATTCCACTTATGAATTATTAAAATAGAAGTTTGAGATCGATATTGAGTACATATTTGTATATAAATGATTATTTATTTATTAACTTTAGAAAATTTCTTTTTATCCAAAACAACAATTTATAATATAATTTTATAACTGAATTCAAAAACTAAAACAAATCAAGTATAATTACGATATTTTATTCATATTTAATAATTGATAATAGAAGATTCATTAATTTTACATATCTTATTATTATAAAATACAATTCTCATTAGCATTATTTTTTATATAATCTTTCATTATAAACACTATATTATCTTTTATTTTTTAATTATAAATAAATTAATTAATTAACTCTATTATTTTTGATGGATTTAACAAAAAACATAGAAAAATTATTTATATTTTAACATAAAATTTGTTTATTTTTAAGTAAATATAATGTTTGTTTATTTATGTGTATGTATTATTAATATACTATTTTTTCATGATCAATCGAATAAACCTCCCATATCGACATCTTCTTCAGGTTCTTCAACTTTGGCTGGGGCTTATTAAGCAACTGGTTTTGCTTCAACTTTTGCTGCAACTGGTGCAGATGTTGTTGGAGCACTTGATTATTTGATTTAATCAAAAATAAATCCTGATTATAAACCAATAGCAGCCAAATCCTTGAAAGCATTAGCCAATAAATATGGAGCTGAAGATTCATTAACCCAACCTAATTTATTATAGATTATAATAAATTACCATTAGCCAAAGATATGGCTGATACATTTCTAACATTTTATTAGAATTTAGCAACAATGTCATTCAAATTAACTGAGACTTATTGTTTGTTCAAAATAGATCCATTGTCATAGCATGCAAGAACTTCCATTCTATAAAAATGATTAGAATATAATATTACCCATATAAGAATGGCTTTTTACCTAATTTTTACAATAAGACAGCTTAAGATTAGCCAACCTTTTATCCTGTTTTTAAGACGACAAAGTCTTTTGTAATTTAGATTTAACCTTTTTCAATTTTTGTTGGGATTTAGAGTGCATGGAAGAATTGGATTGAAGCTGGGTCCATACCAGTTGGGCCTGGAGGAATAACAACATCAATTGGAGCAACGGCACCAACTCTGGCTGGGGTTTCGACTTTATTCTCTTCAATGATTGGTTTAAGATCAAAGACTGGTGTGTCTGTAAAGATGAATCCAACTTTGCCTGCAACTGAGTTCTTCAAGGCATCCAACTCTTTAATTGCACTACCAAATTTAGCCAAATCATCATAATATTCATGTTCTTTTGGTAATTCTTATACTCTAGTAGCCAAAACTTTTTTGAAGAGAGTCTAAAATACTAATTTGTAAATACATTTTTGCCAATAACTAATAGGGCATTTCTCTTAGCCAAAATTCTTCTGATGTCTTACACTTATTTAGATCCAACATTTGCTAATCCAACGATGATAACTTAAGTATATTTGGATAACAATTCATAAATCTTTCTATTATAATTATCAATAAGATAATTACTTGAATTGTGCTGGCTTCTTATCTTTTGTTTCCTTTTTGCCCATTTATTATTTATTTAAATTAAAAAAAGATTTCAAAATTTTTTGATAAACAATTCAAGTATATATATAAATTTCATTAATTCTTTAATATACTTTTTCATGTCTCATCCTCCACCCACTTTATTCTCTTCCCTTCCTTCCATATTCCTCTCTTTCTTGTGTTATCATTAAAAATAAACACTCCTTCTCCATCCTATTTACCATCTTTCCACATCCCATCATATTTCCTACCATCAGCCCACCAATAAATTCCATGTCCATCTTTTTTATCATTTTTATATTCTCCTTCATATTTTCTACCATCCTTCCAAATATAAACTCCATAACCATGCATACAATTATTTCTCCATTAACCAACATAACCTCTACCATCAGACCAGCAATAACTTCCTTAACCATTTATTTTATTATTCTACCATTCTCCATCAAATTAAGAACCATCTGGCCATTAATATCTACCTGTTCCTTATTTTTTTCCTTAAAAATATTCTCCTATATACTTAGATCCATCATTCCAAACTTCTTAACCATATCCATGTTAATAATCATCTCTCCATTCTCCCTCATATCTTGAACCATTAGAATGTTTATATACTCCTTTTCCATTAGCTTTATCTTGATCCCATTCCCCTTCAAATCTGTCACCATCTACATGATAAAATATTCCTTTCCCACATGCTCTATTATTTTTCCATTCTCCTACATATTTTGCTCCATCAGTCCAAACTTAAGTCCCTATTCCTTCTCTACAGTTACCTCTCCATTAACCTTAATAAATTGCTCCACTCTTGAATTAATAGGGACCTCTAATTTCCAATGATTCATCATTTATTTTAGATGGAATGTTGATTATTTCAAAATTCTCTTTCAAATAATTTTTATTGGCCCCTGTATTTGGATTTTTCAATATTTTATTCATAGATTTTAATCTATTTTTTTTTCTAATTTAATATCCTCGATATCTACTTTAAATTTTAATTGCAGCTTTGAGAATTTTTTCATTCTAATTTGAATATTCATTAAATTTAATATGCTCTTTAGTTGGTTATTTATAACTTGATGATTATTTTTCATTTCTTTTACTATCCTGTTCTTTACTTTATAATTCTGCATTTAAATTTGCTTAATTACTTGCAATAGAACTTCTTGAGTGACTCTTACTATTTTTTGTTCCTTTATTATCTAACTTACTCATTCATTTAATAATTTACCACAATTTCTCTTTCTTAAAGCATGTTTTTCCCAAATTTGCAATCACATTGACTACACTTACCTCCCATTGAGAAATGCTATACAAGAAATAGAAATATTATAATAAATATTATATAACTATAATGATTTGAAAATAAATTAAGAATAAAAACAAAAGTTATATGAATTAGATTAATCAATAAAATAGTTTAATTTAATAAAACAATTATATATATATAAATCAGATCATAAATTATTATTTTACTTAAGACGGTTAAAATATTTTTGTTGCTTAATTTTGTAACAATTCATAAAATTAATTTTAACCTAATTGATTTCCAATTTCTAAAGAGATATTTGAATCCTATAAATAAAATGGTAATGGAGTCAATCTATCATTAGGACTTCCTAAATATGATGATATAGATTCTAAATGAAATTCATTGAACACTTTGCAAATACTTCGAATAATAGCCAATTCTTCTTTATGTTATTCATTATTTGGAATCAATTGCATTACCTTACATAACAATTAATAAGAATGTTGGGCCTTGATATTTATAGTTATATCATGAGTATTAATTTGCTACTCCATAAGTAATTGATTACGTTCATTATTTATATAATTCTTAGTTTTAATTACATCTATAAATGAATTTGCTCATTAAATTTGATTTGAATTTACTTTTACTAATTTTGAAGATCTTTCAAAGTTTCAGTTAATTATTGATGTTCTGCTTCATAAATTTAGTGTTTAAGATTATTATCCTAATTACTAAGTTCTTCAAGAACTTTTAATTTATTTTAACTAATGATATTTATCAACTATTTTCTACTTCATTATAAGTATTCATACTTTTCTCCTTGAATAAAATAACGATGAGTAAAAACATTGATGTTTCGTTTAATCTTTGTTCTCTTAAAACCATATAAATTTAATTGCCTATCAAAAGTGAACAATTAAATTAACCTAATAAAACTTGCAAATGATTTCTGTTTATAGAATACCTTAAGTATTTATTTCTCTAATTTCTTTATATCATAAACTTCAAAAGATTTACCATCATCACTCCATCTCAAGAATCTATATTCTTCTGACTAAACAAATGAAATTAATTTATTACTTCTAATAAATCAAATAGCTTCTCTAAAAACTTTGGACTTTTTTTCTATTGCATTCAATATTAATAATATAATTTTTCTAATGATATGTAATGTTTTTTTTTATTTAGTCATAATGAGATTAATCTAAATATATTTTATTAAATTATTGAAAAATATAAATAACACCTATAAAAGCATCACAAATCAAACCCAAAAAAGTTAAAATCTGATTCTTACTAACCAAAAAACCAAACTGGCTCTAAAGTTTCAAGATTAAATTTATCCTATTTATGATTTAAATAATTTCCAATATCATCAACAACAGCTTTTCCAAATGGAGCAGGAGAAGTAGGATAAGGAATCTCAACTTCATCTTCCTTAATTGATAATGTTTCACTCATCCAAAGATCTTCTTCTTTTGGAAACACACACTTTATTAAGTATTAAAATGAAGCCTCTATCAATTTATAATCAATATTTATTACAAGCTTCTGGTTTCATTGCTCTAACTATCATTCGTATACTCTCAATAAAAAATACTCCTCTCCTCTCTTAAATAGCTTTTATTTCTAATAGTTTCTATCAATTATTATTGGATTATATTATACTTCAATTATTAGTTTAAAATGATGCTAAAATCTCAATTATTGTTGAATGAAATCAACCAATTATTTCTAAATAATTACTTATTCTTATTTTAAAGACGTCATTGTATTCTTTAATTCTTCTTATTCCATAATAAATGTCCCTATCTATTGTTTCTCTACATGAGCTTACTTTTTCTTCTAAATGAACTTCTAAATAACTTTATTTTATGTAAAGTATGGATGCTCATATGTTAAGATTCCATTTTAATCCTTACAACTAGTAAAGCCATACATATTCAATTATCTGAAAAATAGAAAGGAAATACCTTAAAAAACTTGAATAATTTCCATGTTTAAAAAATCGAGGCAAGACATTCTCTTATAATAAAGATTTATCAATTATTTTAATTTTAATTCCTTCTTCATCCCATTTTATAATGTCTATATACTCAGAACACTATATTTGTGATTGATAGTACATCAAGAATCTATTTAAAAATCTCAATAAATCTATTGCTTTTTATTTTTTTATTTCTTTTGTTCATTATTTTTATAAATTCATGAAAATTAAATTAAATTTCTAATTTACCAAAAATAGTATTCATAAATAATATTAATGATAATAAAAATTGTAAAAAATGATAGAATGTATCGATTACATAAATAAATTATGATATCAATAATTTATATATTTAATAAATCCCCAAGCTTATAATCCATTATCATTTATAATTAGTTTCATTCCTTTAGTGATATATTCTGGGAAATATTTAAATTTAAGTCTAATTATATTTGGTTGTTTAGGAATTAATTCAATAAATTCCATAGGTTTTTCATTCTTCTCATTAATAACAAATAAATCAGTTTTTTTTTAATCATCCTCATTAGTATAAGATTTGATTTAGCTACTTCCTTTTCTTCTTGGACTTCTATAAGATTATTTGTTTAAATTATTGGAACTACTAGCTTTTTTGAGTTATTCACTTTATTTCCTATAAGATGTTCTTTATTATTGTGTTTCAGGTTTCTACATACAAGATTCATCAATAGATTTAGATTATTTTTTTCTTAATGTTAGATTTTCAAATTATAATTATTCTTCTCTAATTATTTTACAAATTTATCTAATAATAATAATAATAACATTAATATACCTAGTACATTATGTATTAATTACAGGTTCAAAACTAACTGCAATTTTTTTGGCTTCTTTTTAATCATCAAATAACCAAATTTCAGCTAGAAAATCCCAAGCAGCTTATGGATTGCTTTTTCCTTCAATTAAAACCATTCCACGTCTAATAGGATTTTAATCTGATCCAAATTATTATGTAAGATTTCCTTATTTAAATCTAATTGTACATATTTATCCACATTATGCAGATTTGACCTAGATTATATTAAAAATAAATACTTAAACTCTATTACATTAAATTTCTTCAACTTCAATAGGGAAAAAACGACCATGTTTATCTGGTCCCATTTATAATATTTATTTAACTCTTATAATACCTTTAAGAACTGTTCCACCAAGTACTTTTTAATTATTAATTTCAAACACATTATGAATACAATATTCTGAATCTAAATTTGAATTATTTGTTAATTCATTTGTTGATGGTAATAAATTTAAAAATTTAATAAAATAATCTAATGTTCTCTATTTTAAATTAGATATTAAAAATATAGGAATAAGAGTTTTACTTAAAATTTATTTACTAAATAAGACTACATCTTCTTCACTTCTAACTACAATTGGAACACTTTAAATTTATAAACTTTTAATCATATCTTTTAATTATTCAACTTTATCCATATAATAATCTTCTGTAATTTGATCTACATGAGTTATGGCAATCATAAATGGAATTTATTAAATTTATATTAATTTAAGAAAATCCATAGTAGGTTTACCAATCTATTGTAATGAAGATATAGTCAATAGAGCATAATCTGGAAATTAAGAATTAATAATCTAAATCATTTAATTATGTGCTCTTTTAGTACCACCCATATCAATAAAAGTAATTAATTTTGTTGATAAATCAACTAATTTTTCAACCATACAAGTAGGACTAAAATTAAGTTAATTTTAATGATTCATAATCTTTCCTTCACTATCAAAACCTATAACTGTATGACTTACTCTTTCTGTTTTTCCAGATGTAATTTCAGATCTATTCTTTAAAAACTTCATTCTTGCCAATCCTTAACCATTATCTAGTTATCCAGTACTAAGAACACCTAATAAAGATGTCTTTCCAGATCCACTTTCACCTAAAAGTAATATTCTAATATCTAAATTAATTCCATCCTTTAATCCTTTTCTAACAATAACTTCACAGGTTTTTCCATTGGTTCCTTAATTTATACCTACAACCAATAATTCAGCTTTTAAAGATTAAGCCATTAAACAAAGTGTTTTTAATGATCCAATCATATCAGATTTATTAAGACCTAAAGGATTACCACTATCTTCTACTCCAATTTTATAATATGCCATTCCATTTCCTTCAGATAATCTGAAATTCATTTATGTTGTTAAATGAGTTAATCTTTTAGGATCAGGATCTACTAGTCTAAGTTTGTATTCAGTGTGTCCGAAATCACTCTCTTACTTAAAACAGGATATTTTTGATATATTTTCTTGAATCGAATACTAAATTATATCATATAATTTTTACTTATTCGTCTATGTATTGCTATAAATCAATTTAGATCTCCTCATTATTTGGTTTTACTAAAAGAATAAATTAAGGCTTTGTTTCATATTTTAAATGCTTTTGGATTAATTCAAAAATATACTTATATTTATTGCTATTATTCTGATTCATCATTATTTATTTAAATATTATCTGATTTATTTGATTGTTTTCCTTTCTTTTTTTTCTAAATATTCAAATTTTATTTTCTTTGTTTTTATTTATCAGTCATCTCTGAAAATTATGGATGAGCTTGTTTCTATTGTTTTTTCTTTTCTCTTTTAGACTCTTCTTCATCTATTCCTTACCATAAACTATAAATTCCATTATTTATAGTAGATTGTTATTAAAAATCAATATGCATGTATGTGAGATTGTACAAGTATATTCTTTCTTAAATATAATAATAAATAATTCTAAAAATGTTTTGTAAATGAATTTCAATTAAATAAATATTTGGCTTAATTAATCTATTTTACGTGTACATTATCTAATAGAAATTGCTAAAACTATTTAAGAATATTTCATTAAACAATAAATTTAATAGATTATTCATCAATTAATCTTCTTTTTTTTCTTGTTCTTACGCTATTCTTCTTCTTTAATATGTTCTTATATAATAAATTTCATTGCTATAAAAATATTATTATTTATACCTTTGATAAAATTATAAAAGAAAATAGACATTATTATAACTATTGCATATATTGATATTGATTTCTCTGTTAGATTATATTATCTTAAAAATTTTGAAAAACTATTTTAGTTTCTCTCATAATTTTCTAAAATCTTATAATAATTTAAATTAATACATGTTATTTCTCTACATACATTCTACCCTTAATTTCTATTTCATCTAATGACAACTAACCTAAATCACGTTGATCAAATATAAATTATTCAGGTTTAATCATTTATAACCAATCTATTGATTATACTAATGATTCATCTATAGTAGAGTCTGGATATCTAATTCTTAATTCTTGCATGCAATTATTCATCATATAAAAAAAATGATTTAACACAAGATCTTGTTTCGAAGACTCTTCATATTCAGAAAAATAACCAAAAATCTAATCTTTGTTTGAGTCATAATAAAAGCCTACCACTCTATCACATAAATAAAGACGCTAAGTTTCAATATCTTTTATCCATTCTGTAGCATAGCATAAAGTTATTATAAAATAACAAATATTCACTTTCATTATTTATAAAACTAAATTAACTTAATTAAAAAGTAGAAAAAACTATTATTCTTACAAACATGATATATAAAACTATTTATTTATATTTTTAATACATATTTTAAATCTTTTTACAATCTATTCATTTTTGTTGAATAGATATATTTTCAATTATTCTTTTATTTTAATTCTAATTAAATTTATATCATTTATATAATAAAGTTTAATATATAATATATTAATTAATATAATAAAACATAAATAATTATATATCCAGTTATGTAAATTATTCTAAATAAAATTTGCTACAGATTTATAAGTGTTTATTATATCAATATTCTATATAATTACAAAGAGGAAATAATAATAGAATAGGGCTAAACAGAGAAATAAAATTAATTTTTTTGTTAAAAATCATTCCATTTTTATATTTATTTATTTTATTAAATTATGACAGATGATGATTTTGAAACTGAGTAAAACTTATTAGGAACGATCTTGTCAAGTAAATTACTCAATTAAATATTAGTAACTGATGAAAATGAATATTAAGATCAGAAGAAGTTAAATGCAGGTGCTGAATGCAATTAGACTTAAACTTAAACAAAATTCTAAAGATAATATTAGTTTTAAACTGCAGATTCTTTCAGCAAATCCTTTGAATAAATAAGTTTAAGTTCAGATCAATTATGCAGCCCTATTTCCCCTGAAGGGAAATTGTAATATAAAAATCCAGGAGTTTGCACTTCATTTAGTTCAGATAATCAAACAAGTTTAGAGAATTCAATGATTTTTGGAAATCCTCGTTGTTTTGATTACTTTTAAAAATAACCTGAATAATTTTCACCAATATTTTACAGTTAAAACAATCCAATTTGGCCTTAATATCAAAAACCAAGTCAAAATTTAGATATATAATTAGACATTGATATTGTAAATTTTGTTATTTTATTAATTTTTTATAGGAGAATATGTGTGGAAATCAAATACTCTCTAGAAAGGTTTAGAAGATATTTGAAACTGGATCACCAAATTAAAAACAATAAATATTTTGTAAAGTGCAAACTAATTGTTAAGAATTCTCAAAAGATATTTTTGGAAATTACTTAATTCAAAAGATTCTTGAAAAAGGTATAAAATCAATATTAATATTATTTAGGCACTGTAGTATAATAAATATAGATCTTTAATTAATTATTGCCTTATGTATTTGAATTATCTAAAAATAATTTTGGTTGTAGAGTTATCTAGAAACTTATAGATATCATGTCCAATAATGATAGATTAATAAATCCATTCCTTCAAGAAATTAAATAAAATATTTAATCACTTTTAATTGATTAAAATGGGAAATATGTAATTTTAAAATGCTTGGAAAACTTTTAAATAGATGTAGTTAAATTTATACTAAAACCATCTGAAGAATTATGTATACATATGTGTGATTCTTAATATGGATGCAAAATAATATAAAAACTAATTGATAACTATCCATCTTAAGTGGACAATTTGATATAAATTTGTATATCAAATTAAGAACTCCTTTATAAATCTTAATATGGAAACCACATCATTTAATATGCAATAAAATAACCAAAAAATCTAGAAATTATAGCAAATTATATTGTAAATCATTTAGAATATTTATGTTTTAATAAATATGCAAGTAATACAGTTGAAGCTATCCTTGAATATTTAACTCCAAAACTTAAGAATGATTTTGTATAAGTTTTAATCAAGCTTTCAGATTAAAATAGAATGTAATATTATATATTATTCTTAGGTTCATTTTTATTAATATAGCTACTAATCCTTTTGGAAATTATGTTATAAAAAAGTTATTATAAGTCTTTGAATTGGAACATACACAATAACTGTTAAATCTAATAAGATTGAATTTAAATTTGTTATAATACATAAAATAATCAGAATATGGATAAAGAATATATACTATATTGACAACATAGTTAAATGATTAAAATTGATAATAATTATAAAAATGATTATAAAAATAACATTAAATTGATGAATTAATACATTTTTTATAAATTAATAAATTAATAATACATCAACAATGGAATTCAAATTCTAAAAGACTTTTAAATCCAAATCTTAATGATTAAATAATTGAATAATAAAATCCAGCAATAAAATTCAAAATAGCCAAAAGAATAGTAAAATATATCACTATATGAACTAATTTTAACTTTTCAATAATTTTTAAAGAGTAATGGCAACATATAGTTCCAAAAATAAACTAAATATGAAATTAATATTTACAGCTAATCCAAAAAACCAAATAATTTCTGTCATTTAAACTTAACTATCAGTTATTAATTTGACAACATTAGTTAAACCAATAAAAAAGTAATTAAATGCTGATGTTGCAGTAGCAATTCTAGGATGTAATCCTAATTGTAATAATACTGGAACCATTAATAATCCCTTAAATAAATACAATAATTTACTGCTCCTAAAGCTAGAAGTCCTGAAATTAATCCAGCTAAAAATCCAGAAACATATATTAATATAAATTGATTCTTTTTAAAATATCTTTCTTACATATAAATTTAATAATCATCAAATAGTTTTTCTTTCTAATTATTTAATAATATATATATATTACTTTTTAACCATATTTATATACTAATCTAGACATAAAAATATTAAAAATTAACAATATTATCCATAATATGTATCTAAAATCAAAGCATTTATTTAATTGAATAAATGGTTATAGATATTTTCCACCTGTCATAATTACTTATGAAACAATAAAGAATGAAAAGGCTATGGCCAATTTTTTATATGGATAAAAATTCTGAAATTCTTCTTATAATAACAATTATTATTCTTCAGTGTATATTGAATCTTTTTAATTAAGTAAATATTTTTCTAAATCAAGTTCACTTTAACATCTTATTTTTCTTAGTTTTTCTTTTTTTGCTTTATTCAATAGAAATGGAATAACAATAATCAAAAAAAGTTATTAGAAAATTGTTTCAATTATAGGAGCTAGAAAAACATTTAGGATACTTCCTAAATAACTACCAAGGGCTATTGAACAATTTAAAATCACTACTAAATTATAATTTACTAATGGTCTTTTCTAATCATAAGGATGAGATTTTTTCATTAATAGAAATGTATTTATGACACATCCGCCAAACATTAAACAATAAGATAATTAAGTTGCATAACTCTATTCATAATCAAGCATCATTAATAGAATTGGTCCTTTCAATACTCCTCCTCCTAATCCTCCTGTCATTCCAAGTCCCAATAATATAGGGCATATGAAATAAACTATGGCAGTATATAAAGTCATAGGGAATATTGGATTATGTATACACATTCCATCTATGCATTTGTTTAAATATCCACAATTTAGAGATTCTGGACATATTTATTTAAACATTAAGATATTAAATAATACTAAAAATTGTCAAAAGTTTTGTAAATTACCTATTATATTTAAAAATTATTTAATAAATAAGTAATCAATCATTTTTTTAGATAGTGAATTCGATTTCTTTGGTTAATCATTTATTAATGTATTTATAAGTAATTATGTACTAAGATTGAACTTTATTTTTCCAATTAATCTAAGTATTTATATTATTAATCAAATCCAACATTCATATTAAATTTATCTATCAAACTGTCTATTTGTAATATGGATTTTTTATTAAAATTGTTAGTTTTGATTCTTTCTTGAGTACTAATATGAGTTGATACTTCTAATGAATTATTTGAGATTTTGTTTGAAATTGATCTTCCTTTACTACTTTATTTTTGAAAAGGTGATTAATTTTTTGATCTTTGAGTTGGTATATAATTATTCTATTTAATATATGGACTTTTAGTTAATTGAGGTAACTTAAGTTTAAAACAAGGACTATTCTCCTTGCTTAAAGCTTTTATTAATAATTAATCATTTTTATACATTAATTTATAATCACATATATGAAAGAATACGGTTCATCTAAACTTTTAAAGACAATTATTTAATAAGAAGAAGTTATAACTAATGTAGAGCCACCAAAAAAATTCAAAGTTAATGAATCATATAAACCCTCAGTGATTATAAATAAACCATTTTAAGAAGAGGATAAAAAAAAAAAAACTTTAGATGACATTATTCCAGCATACCTATAAGATCCTCCAAATATAATTGAAAACCCAAAATAGTCAAAAAAAGAATAATAATATTAATAAGTACAACCAGCTTAAGAAAGTCCTGTTGATGATTTACAAAATATTAATATTATTCCTTGTGAAGAATATTCACATATGAGACCAGTCATACTTGGAGAGATATAAGAAGAAATATAAAAATCATAAAAGAGTTTTTTATAAGCATTACGTGATGGACATTGCATTATTTAATTACCTAATAAATTACCTTTTCATGATATAGGGAAAACATAAAAATATGTTGAAGAAGTTAAAGGAGATTAAGTATAAAAATAATTAAAGTATTTATGATTAAGATTTTAATTAGAGATTATTATGATGAATGTTATGATAGTAGTGGAATTCAATTATAAAAATAATTCACAAATTTAAGTAATAAAGCTGATGTTGGTATACATATAGGAAAGATTTAAATTGCTAAAGATGGAACTGCTATTTGGAAGGCTGGGAGAGAAGAATTTGAAATTGTTTAAGGAATAACCTAAGAATTAGATTAAAAATGTTTGATTATTAATAAAGAAGATGGTAAATGTGGGTTCATCAATGTGGGTGATAAATTTGTAATAACTCCTAATTATTGAAGTTCATATTATAATATATTGAAATAAATTATATGAATTACACAATCATAATATATAATTGAATTAACATTTAGGAATTATAAGATTTATTATTTTTATTATAAAATTATTTATAATACTTAATAGATATACTTGTAATCAAATTTGATTTTTTAGATTTACCATATATGATATAATTTTGAATGTACAAAAATTGAAGGGTATTATAAGGGTGATTATATATTAATAATTTTTAACGAATTATAAATAATTCAAATTTTAAAACAAATGAAAACTTTTTAAGTTAGTAAAGACTCATCATTTAGGTATTTTAAACATTAAATTAAGGATTTTAGTACCACAAAATAGAATTGAAATGGAAGAGGAAACAGTTGAAACATCAATATAGTTAGATTAAAAGAATATTTATCGACCAATTAAAATAATATTTCCTCCTCCAAATAATTAAAAAATCATTACAAATACAAAGTAAATTATATATTAATATTAGATCTTGTAATTGTAAGAAATCTTAATGTCTAAAATAGTATTGTGATTGCTTTGCTAACGGATAAATGTGTTCTGAAAATTGTAATTGTGTTGGTTGTTTCAATAATACACTTAATATTGAATAAAGAAAGGTGGCTAAAGTATAAATTATAAATCGAGATCCTGGGGCATTTAAATAAAGTTTCAAAGGATGTAATTGTAAAAAGTCTGGATGTTAAAAGAAATATTGTGAATGTTTTTTAAATGGTCAAACATGTACACATTTGTGTAGATGTGATGGATGTCTCAATTGCTAAAAGTGATATTTTTATATAATTCATTTCAATCATAAAGAGTTAGAATTAAAATTTAATCTAATTTATTAATAATTATTCAAATAAAAATAATTGACCAAATATTTAAAGGTCAATATTTTATAGTTGAATGGAATAAAAGATATTATAAAAATTATTAAAAAATAAAATGAATACTTATATATAATTTTAAATAATAATAAAAAAAAATTGATATTATTAAATCATTAAATATTTATGTAATCATAAGACTTTATTACTGTTTGTACTGCTTAATAATAATTAGAGACGATTATTTTATGTTTTGAAGAGAGGAGAGAAGTGCGTCTAAGATTAAAATGTTCTGGATTTAATTCTGTTTTGAGCTTTTGGTAAAATCATTCTTTTTTTTTCTTTACGACTTTTCAATTATGATTATGATGTACTTAATGGACTATTACAAGATTATTTTTCTAATAATTCTTCTGGAAAATGTGTTTTCATTGTAAGTTTTTTTATTTTATTTTTTGGTAATTCAACTTAAGATTCAAATTTTTAAATTTATTAACAATCAAATTCTTGAGAATCATTTTATGTAACAAAATTATAGCAGATTTTTGATTTAAGAAAGAGCTCTGATTAAGTTTAAGTTACACTTGATTGTATAACTTTAATTGGATGTTTTCTTTATTTTTAAGATAAGAATTCGAGTTATTATTTAATTAATTTATTTCTTTGTTATTTTTTAATTTATTAAATTTATTGTATTTTTTTAGTAGTCTCTATTAATCTATCACTTTTTTGTGGAGATTCTATTAAATTTTCTGATTTAATTCTTTAAGAATAATATTATGGAAAATTAGAAGCTGTTTTTGCATCTGTTTATGTTCTAAGTTCTGCAAACTATTATAATTCTATTCTATGTAATTTAAGTTCTTCAAATTATTATTCAAACATTCTTTCAACTAAAGATGTTCTTTAAATTTTATATGCATATCCTTTAGCTGAATTACAAATCAAAGAATATTCATAAGGAAGATTTATATTAAGATGATAGAAACCAAATACTTGTAATTCTCCTATTTCAAAAAGCTATCATATTAATAATAATTACATTTGCATTTGTTTAATTTGATCTAATAAACTTCTTAACTAAGAAGCTACCAGATTTAATTAAAATAAAATAATCAACCTTTTATCCTTCTTATATAACAATTTAATTTTTTTCAAATTCATACAAAAAAGAATTTAGATAAATATGTTTCAATTAAGTTCTATGAAGATGTGAAAATATTTTAATTTGAGAGAAATAATCAATGTTCTTTCATATTAATTAAAATACATACTTCGTCTAATTATTTTTATTGTTCTTCCTAAAGAATATGCTTAAATTGTTATTTATCTAAAACAGCAAAAGTACATTCAGTAAGACATTGAATTGTTGCTAACCTTGGTTGTTTATGTAAGAGTGCTAATTCACCAAAAGATTCCCCTTTATTTAGAATTCTTACAGCTTCCATTTCAATTTGATTGGGCTTCCTTACTAATACCATAACTTATCCTTCTAATATAATATAGAATTTAGTGCCAACACTATCTAAAGAATTTAGAATTATGGGTTACCTACATAGAATACAATTTCATGTGATTTGAATTTTTCACAATACATATTTTTACAACATTTCCTTTATATTTGAATTCCATTCTCTGATTTAGTGTATTATTTAAAAAAAGGAAGTTAAGAAGTTAATTTAACTAAAAGATCGATTTCTGCTTTGCTTCTATGTTGAGGACTCTTTTTTAATAAGAGTTCAACCTCATCAATTTACTTTTACATAAATAATATTTATTATTACTAATATTTTAATTGAATAAATTGTTATCAAAGCGATCTCAACACAAAAGTTAAGATAATAAAAATTAATTTATATAAATGTAAAATAATAATATAATTTTCTAGTTTATAATAATAAAATATTTAAATAATTTGAATATGTTAGGCAAAAAATAGAGTTCATTTATTGGCTTCAATCCATTTAATAAAATTGTAAAAGAAAACCCAAGTATAAGTACTAGAATCATCAACAAATTGAAAAGTTTATTTTAGATCAATTTAAATCCTTCTTCTTATATAAAAAAGGAACTTATATCTTAATAAACTATTTATGTTCCAGTAGATTTAGAAATAGTTGGAGCATAAACTATTGAACATGGTATCATTCATTTTCATTTAGATTCTATTCAAATTTGTAATTCTCAAAATAGCATAAAATAAACAAGAAACAAATTTATGAGCTTTAATGATCATATAAAAGATTAATAGAAAGAAAAAGTATAATAAAATGAATTGTCTTAAAAAGTTTAATAAAAAGAGAATAAACACATGAAAAAGTTCAATTGTAAATTTAAAACTTTATAAAAATAAGAATTATAATATAGTTTTGATCCTGTACTTCCAGAAGATATTGATATAGCTTAAACTAAATAGAATAATATAATTCATCCTAAAAGAAAACTTAGTTCTTAATAATACAAAAAAAGAAAACTTGATTGTATAATTATAAAATATATTTAGAGAAAAAATAATAAGTAGGAATCAAATTTGTATTTAAGGATCATATATATGATTAAATTTAGGATAGTATTAATGAAAGTAGAATAAAAGAAGTTCCTGAATAAATGACAGATGATTCTCTTAAAAATAATAGTCTTCTTGTATCTGATCTAAAATAGGAGCCAAAAAATAAAGAAATGATTATAATATAATTAGATGATGAGAAATAAAAATAGATTGAACCTCCTATGCTTACAATGAATGAAATCATAGTAAATCAATCAAAAGGATTAAAGAAATCATAATCTATGATTAATTTAAATGAATAAGAATCCAAATCTATTACTTATAGCCCTAAAATACATGAAAACTCATAATCACGAAATCATTCTGATATTATCAATAAAATTAATGAAACTAAACAAATTGATCCATTTAATGATTAAGTGAAAAAAGATATAATAAAAATTGATAAATTAACTGAATTTTCAGTATAACCATAATAAAATGTTATCAATTTCATAGTACAAGGCTCTGAAAAATAAGATATAATTAAAATAACAAATATTAATACATAATTATAGAAGGAACTTTCTGAAGAGAAAAAGATTTCTGAATAAAAAGAGAGAAATATTAATAATTTTTCAGATACTCCTTTATTTGGATTTGGAAAATGTAGAGAAGGTTAATAAGGATAAGTGATTCAAAATAAAATTAATGTACACTCATCTATATTTGCATCTTATGATTCTAAGGACTTAAATCTATTAAACTCTTCTAATTAAAATTAAAATTTGTAATAAAATTAATTTACATTCCTTTAAAATAAATCAAATATTTCAGTAATTTAAGATTAACCTTCAAATTCTAATGAAAAAAATTAAAAAGATATTTTGAATAGACAAGAAGAAAATAAATAAAATAATGGTATGTATAATAATACTTCTAACAATTAAAATGAATAGTTTCGCCCTATGAAATAACTTTTTTAAAATTTAATTTTTTAATCTCAATCAATATAAGGAGAATAGAGAAAAGAAGAAAATAATTAGGATTAACCTGAGGATAATTAACCTAATTCTATTGGATTAAATCGTTAATTAAAATCTAATAATGAATCATAAAAACAGCAAAACAAATGTAATTTCTCTTCTACTGATTAATTAATTAAATAAGTTACTACTCCAGTTCTATAATAATCTCCAAAAATTGATTAAGAACAAATAATCTCTTATTTTTCAAATCATTCATAATAATAAAATAGAAACAATAAAGATGATCCTGCTAAAATTTAGACTTCATAATTTTCAGATGATCTATTTAAATTATAAAATAATGGTACTTCTATGTTTAACCCTTAATCTGCATAATCATCACTTTTCTCTTTCCAATAATTATCTAATTAATAAAATTAGACAAATTAATTTTTACCAAATTTTAATGTATTTTAAACAAGTGTAAATAATAATATGAATATGGATAATAATAGTATGAATAATAATAACAATATGGAAATTACAAATACACCATTACCTACTTAATAATTCTAATTTACATAATAGTTATTGTAGACTTAGAATCCACTTGGATCATTTAATTAACCTTTATCAGAATCCAATAATTTCTATCCTTAAATTCAATAGTAAATTTAAAGTGGATTTAATGTAATTTAATTTAATACAACAAATCTCAAGTAATAAAATGAACATTAAAATTAATTACTTTAAATCCCTTAAACCAATTGTAAAAATTAATTTATAATACTAAGGCATATTCACTTAAGATTCAACTAAATTAACAAATTAATCTTAAAGCTTGAATAGTAGTTGTTAAAGTCGTAATGCTAAAAGGAAATAAAGAATCGATCCATGATTTTATTAATTAATTAAACTTAAATACATATAAATTGTTAATAAAAATTAAATTATTTAAATTAACTTAAACTAATTATTCTATTTGTATATTTATTATGATAATTAATGAACTTAATGAATTTTTTAATATTTCTTCTTAAGATAGTCCCTTATAACTATAAAATTGATGCACTAATTTAATGATGATTATAATCCCTATAATAAAACTTATATATATAAATTTACTTAACTAAGTTTAGAAGTTTACAGTTGTATGTCAAATTATTATTAATTAATTTAAATGAAAAACTTTCCATAATTTTTTAATTAAAATCAAAGTTATCATTTTTATTTTTAAATATATAATTACACTTTAGGGATTGAAATAAGCTTTAAAGGTAAAATTGATAAGAAGAATAAAAAATAAATTGATTAATCGTAAAATTTATAAATATTCCTTGAAGTTATCTAAAGAAAAATAGAAAATAATTTAATATTATTTAATTATTATTTTAAAAATTAGGATAAATAGTAATCCATTACTTAATTCAGAAAATCCATTTACATGAATTATTAATTAAAAAATATTAAATTATTTTCTTTATAAATATAAATTAATTGAATAATGAATTATTTTTATTTTCTTCATAATTTGAATAAGTAATAAGTAATAAAAATTGGATGAAATTTAAGAAAAAATAAATAATTACATTATTGATTGATTATAAGAAGAGCATCTCAGCTAAATTAGTGAATTATAAAATAATATTGTCCTTTATTTTTTTTTATTTAATCTGCTTCATTATTTAATTATTACTTACTAAATTATAGATAATTTTAAGCAATAATTTATATAGCTTAAACATAATTTAATATGGGCAATTCCCTATTATAAGCTTTCAGAAATCTAAAAATGAGATCACAGATTATTTCTCTTGATATTATTATTCTCCTTATAGTCTTGAGTATAGCTGGAACCGCCATCTATATTGAAATCAAGATATTCTATTATATTTCTGAAAGATCTCTATAAAACACCCTAGTAAATTAGGACATTAAACAAATATCTCTAACTACCCACCTGATGAAGCATTACATTAAAGAAAAGCATCAAATTAGTATTAAAATTATTTATTTAATAACTAGGCATCTTATTAGTTGATCATATTTCTTCTTTCTTGTATCATTAAACCAAAATCTAAGACTAAGTCAAATTTGCAAACTCAATTGACCTTTGTCTTTTAAATGATGATAACATAAAGAATATCTACTTAAAACATACTTAAAAAATGTGTTATTCAATATATGGAAAAATAGAATTAGAAGAGGCCATGTAAAAGAGTACTTAAATACTATCTCTTTATAATGGTCTTAAGTTATTAGAAAATTTTGGTTTAGAATTGAATAAATTTTATCCAGATTTTTTATAATTCGTAGATGTCACAAATATAAGTTTTAATAGTTTTTATCCGTTTGGATTGCATGTTCCAAATTATGATCTTCAAAATAGACCCTGGTAATTTTTTATTTTAATTTAGGTATATTGACCATATTAGAAAGGCTAAAGAGAATCCAAACCAATTCTATTTCTTTACTGATGTTTACAAAATGATAGTTGGAGATTATAATTATTATTTCTCAATTACTTAATCTTTATTTGATGAAAATAAAAATATCTCTGGTATTGTAAAGGTTATGTTAACTGTTGATGACATGAACCTTGATCATGTTAAATCAAATATATTGTTAATAAATAAATATGGATAGGTTATTTACAATTAAATGGAAATATTATAGATTAATAACAGTTAAGTATTTTACATTAATAATGAAACTATCACTGGTTTCAATGATTCTGATTGGAAAATAATAGAAGATAATGCTTTATCTAATTCAAAAAAATCATTATCTTAACATGATGATTTTTCTAATTGTATTATTTTATATAACAAATATTTTAAATCCTATGTACAATTGAGAAGTGAAAAATTCACTAAAGAAAACTTTACATTAATAACGTAATATCATTTTTTTTTACTTTTTAGATACACTAATATAACATCAAAGAAAATTTTAGAATAATAATTTAAAGAAGCATTTATAGAATCTGAAATTTGGATTTTAAGTGCAGTTTTCTAGATAGTTCTTTTGGGAGCTTTATCATTTAGTATTAGTATATGTTTTATTAATATAATCTGTCGACCATTAATAGAAATCAATCGTTCAATATCAAATCATGTATTATCTGTTGGAAATAATATAAACTAAATGATATTCAAGATTCTGTAATAATAAAAAAAAAGATCTTCTAATATATTCAGTAATTTAAATGATTAGATTTGGAGTTTATATGAAACACTATAAATAAAATAACAAAAGAAATGTGAATAATGTATGTTAATTGAAAAAATGTTTTATCATAGAAGAGATAATAATTTACATATCAATCCAATAAAAATAGCTATAAAGAATATTCCAGAAAATATAGATTAAGATTATGAAGAATTTTATTAATTACTATAATAAATGATATAATAATTCAAAGTGTAAGAAATATGATATATTCTCAATTAATTGTAATATTTTATTATATACATATATTTAAATATATTTTTAAAGAATTATGTTAGTATTTAATCTAATGTAATTGATTTACAACATCTTAATTAAAATTAGATAATGAAAGCTTAAACTATTTAAAAATTTAAAAGCATAGAAATTTTTAGATTGCAAAAATTGTGTTTTAAAACTTTTTACTTTTGTTATTTAAATTAATGAGTGATATTAGTGATTAGGAACCAGAAAACTCAGAAATTGATGATAATTCACCAAGTAATTCAATTGATGGAAATGAAATTGATCCAATAGATTCAGATAGTGGATAAATTGATACAGATTCAGGAGGTATATGTGGAGGAATACATTTAATTTAGAAAAACATTCTGTAACATCAGAATCTGATTCAGATGAGGATTAATAGATTTTAAGATCAGGAGCACAAATGTCTCAAAGCAAAGGAAGAAAAGTGAATAAAAATGAAAGAATTACACCACCATTTTTAACTAAATATGAAAGAGCTAGAGTAATTGGTACAAGAGCACTTCAGATTAGTAAAAATAGTCCTATTTATGTTGATCCAAGTATAAAAATAATGAAAATATTAAATAGAAGAAACAACAGATCCTATTTTGGTTGCTTAACAAGAACTTAATGAAAATAAAATTCCATTTATAATTCGAAGATATTTACCAAATGGAAATTTTGAGGATTGGGAATTATAGGAATTAGAGCGTCTAGATTGATTTATAAAAATATTAATAGTTATCTAATAGATAAATTTATAAAAATAATAAATAGATTTCTAAATTGATATATAATACTCAAAATATTAAATTAAAGATCACAACAAAAAACATTAACATCTCTGAATATGAAATTACTGTATCTCCACTTTCAACTAAAGTTATAGAAAATTCTTAAAATTCATGACCATGATCCTCCATTACTAAGGCAGATGATGTTGCATAACTCCATGTATAAGAAGTTCCTTTAGCTAATACTACATCTTATTAAGAATCACCAGTATTTAATTTTCTTTTTATTCTAGCTTTGACAGAATTATCAGCTATACTATAAGAAATCAATTCTAAATCTTATTATGTATCAGTTGGAGGAGTATCATCTTCAACTGACCATAAATCTATAACTTCAGCCTAATTATCTATGATATTAATAGTTAACATATCAACATTCTTCATCTAAAATTATTATTATAATTTTTTACCCCTCTCCCAAAGCCTACTCCAATCCATGATTTTTGATTCAAAATAAAACACATCTCTATAGTATCATCAGTATTAAACTTCCATTTCACTTAGAAAATACTTCCAACAGATAAGGATGCTGTCATATCAGTATCAGTATAAGTAGTAGTAGTAGAGGCTGTAGATGTGACTTCTTAAACAATCCTTGATTATTATTCAAAATGTTTTGATTATTCTTTTCCTTAATTATTCTTCCATACATATGGTTAGAATTCTGTGTCTGGTCTTATAAAATTCATCTAATTTTTTTGACAAAAGTAATTTGAGATTAATTACTGCTCACTTAATTTTGGATGACTACGAGCTCCTTAAACAAATCTTTCTTCACATTAACATTCTTTTAATCTACAAAATAAGTATTCTCTAAAATCCTTTCATTATTAATTAAATGAGATACCTATTATCCAGAAAAGGCTAATACAACTAAATCCTCATTTGATATTATGTTGTAATGCAATTCATGATTGTTTTTTGTATAAGTAAATGCAATTTCAGCATTAACAGTTATTAAAACAATCAAAAAAATGAATATAGATGTATTAATTTGAAACATTTATATACTATAAATCTATAGAATTTAAGTTTTGAAGTGAAAATTTATGGAATTAATTAAATTTTATAGAACAGTATCCACAAATTAAATAAAATATTTGATAATTTTTAATTGTTATAAATATTTACACAATTATATATTTAAAGGTTTTTATTATATAATCAAATATTTTTATTTAATGAGACTCTTATTAATATGTAATATTTAATATTAAATTTAATGAGACTCTATAATTGACACTTATGAAGTATTAATTATAACGTATTTGTTAAATTATAAGTTTTAACAATCAATTAATAAACTTCATAAAAAGCCTATTGGTTTAAATATTGATTTTAATTGATAATTATAATAAATAATAAAAAAAAAGTGTAAAATTTTAATTCCTCAAATGTTTAAGTGTATAATTTAAGCTTTTAAAGAGATGAGAATGAGGTCATAAATATTTCTTTTTGAAATAATAATACTCTTATTTGTTTTGGTTTTAGCAGGAGCAGCTACATATGTGGAATTAAGAATATTTTATTACATTTCAACTCATTCCTCTGAAACTATGATTTCTACTTTGGATATCAAATAAATTAATTAAGCAACAACATTAGTTTCACATTATATCAAATAAAAACACTAAAGAAGTAACAGATAATACAAATATAAATATAGGGATTAATCTTATTGAACATCTTTCCTCTTTTTTGATCACATATTAAATGTAATCACCTAAATTTACAAAAGTTAAGTAAATGGAATCTTGTATAAATTCAGAACTGTTATTAATTCCTCAATATTTTTATTAAACTCCTAAATTTTGTTATTAACTTCATGGAGTTCATGATTTGATAACATTACCATAAAATAATTAAAACATTTCCTTACTATATAATGGTTTAAGTCTAATGAATGAGTATGATCTCTTATATAGTATTGAATCCTCTTACTTTATTTAAGTAGTTGATAATTCAGATTACAAATTTGATATTGTTTATCCTATTGGAATGTTGATTAATGGATATGATCCAAAAACAAGACCATGGTATTCATATAAATTTTATAACTAAGGTATATTAATCATATTAAACAAATGGAATTACATCCAAATGAATAGTATTTTTATTCTGAAGTTTATAAAGTGTTCATTGAATAATATGACTATCAGTTTTCAATAACACATTCATTATTTAATTCTAAAAAATAGTTCATTGGAATTGCCAAAACAATGTTAACTACTAATGATCCTAGTTTTGAATATGTTTTATACAATATAATACTGATTAATTATGCTGGATAAGTTTTATATAATGGTATGGAAATGTGGTAAAATTTAACAGATATTTTTTATGTTTTTAATGAAACTATAACTGGATTTAATTAAACAGATTGGTATAAAATAGAATAACATGCAATCAATAGATTAAGTAGAGATAATTCTAATTAAATATTGATTTTGTATAATAAATATCATAAAAAATTTGTACATGTTCAATGTGAAAAATTCTAAAAAGAAAATTTTACACTTATAATGTATATTATTAATTAATATATATATTAGATTTACAAATGTTAGTTCAATTAATATAATGGAAAAATAATTTTAAGAAATTGAATAATCATTTATATTTTGGTATTTCTTAGCTGCTTCTATTATAATTTCAATTTGTTCATTAACAATTACAATTAGTTTAATTGTTATAAATTCTATATGTTAACCCTTAATTAAGTTGACTAATTAAGTATCCTTACATATTTTGTAATTAGGAAATAATATTAATCAACAAATATTTAAAATGTTTAACAAATAAATATATTCATTAAACTTACTGAACAATTTAAATAACAAATTCATGAATTTTTAAGAATTATTACTTTAAAGTCAAACTACAAAATGTGAAACTTGTCGATTACTTGAAAAAATGAATTTTAATAAAAAAGAAAGTAATATTAATCTGAAATTAATACGAAATTAAAATATATTACTACCTGAATTTAGATTTGTTGAATAAATATAAGTATAAGATATAATCAAAAAAAGTCTATTCTAAGGAGAATCTATGATTATATGATATATCTCATTTTTAATTACATATTATCAAGTAATATCAATCAAATAACAAATATTAAAATTATATTTCTGTAGTTTACTGTCAACTATATTTAATCAGAAATTTTCTAAATTCAATAATATGTATTATTATTTATTAAATCAAATCAATTTTATTTGCTAGAATGTTTAATGCAAGTTGGATTGCTCCTAATTTATTAACTATGCAACTTTCAACTAATAATTATTCTAATAACTTACTAGAAAACTATCCAAAGTTACCTTTAATACCTCAAAAAAATTAATTTTTAACTTCAGAAAAACCTTAATTTAGAATATCCTAATAACTGCATCATTAAAATAAATAACTTACTTTTAAAGAAATCTTTGAGATCAATAAGAAAAATTAGGAATTACTTAATGAATTAATGAATGCTTTAAATCATGATTTGTAATATAAATAACAATAAATTTATACAAACATTTAAAACTAATAAGATTATGAACTAAAAGTTAAACCTGATAGAATACGATATCCATCAGTTGATAATAAAATCAAAAGTAATAGATCTCTAGAAAATGTAGATAAATCTCTTTAAGTTAGTATAAAAAAATCTAAAAAAAAATATGATTAATTTTAAAACAATTCCAGAACAGAAAAATAACATAAAAAAAGAAATATAAATAGTGATTCTAGTTTTGAGATTGATAATAAACAAAATTATAAATATAAGGTTCTAAATACTAAACAACTCAATAAAAAAAAAGAAACACAAAAATATAGTTCTGAAGACTCTGATTAGAGTTTAATTGATGAATCACATTAGAATAAAAAATTAAAATTTAAAACTGTTGGTTAAGTAGTATTTGCTGCTATGTGTTTGTCAAGAAAATATAGAATGTTATAATCAAAAAAATAAGTATTAAGAAATTAAATTAATCAAAATTATTAAGAATATTAAAAAGTTATTGATTAATTTTCTAAGAGATAAGCAATTATTCATGAAAAATAATATTATGCATATGTTGTAGAAAAAGTCATATATCATCTTAAAGAATAATCATTCATAGAAGAAACACAAAGAATTCAAAATTAATCAAAAGAATATTAAAGTGATTTAAGAAAAGTGCATGTTTTTAAATTTACTACTTTACTCTTTAAAAATGTAGAATTATATACTAGACAGAATACTATTACAGATGTCATAAGTAGTTTCATAAATACCAGTTTATATTAACAAACAGGTGTTCCAATCTCTAAATTTGTTGGATAAAGATGTCATTTTTATAATGAAGATCGTCTTAAAATACCTATAGAACAATTAGTTTTGATAGCATTGGAATATTATTTTTTTTGTAATTTGATTCCGTATTTATTTGAGATTATGACTGATATTTAAAATAGCAAGATAATTGGAAAACTAAAAGTTAAAACTAATCCATTTCATTTAAATGAATGTCATTTTTATATTTGTGTTCTTGCTACCTTAATTTAATAAAAGATTGTATAAGTATTTTCTTAAATGAGAAGAATCAAAAATCCTAATGGAAATATTGTTTAAAAAGTACTTAAAACAACAGAATAACAAAATTTAGTTATTAAAGCACAAATAGCTATTAATAATCAATTGGATGATAATGATGAAGAAAATGAAATAGTGAAAGGATTAATATCATCTGATTTAATATTAGCACTTGAAGAAGAAAAACCATAATGGAAAAAATTTATAGATAAAACTTTTTCATAAATAATTACAAACTTTAGAAACATATTACCAAAATGAATATATATATAATTTATAATAAAAATTATTGTTTAGAATTTAAAATATAGGTTCTATAGGTATGTTTATAAATTTTTCAGTTTAAAAATAAAGTATTAAATTAATTATTTTTATCAATAATTTTAATGTTAACTTTGGAGAACTTCAAATAAACATCATTCAAGTAACCAATAATAAACAGGTAATTTGCCTAAATACTCAAAGCCCACGGTCTATTGAGGCTTGTCGTTTGTGTGGAATTTTGCCAGAGGAGCTAATTTAAATTGGTATTAAAGAACTCAAAAAAAGAAATCCAGAGTTGAGATTAAATAAATAAGGATGGGAGATTATGTGGCAACATCATGAAATAAGAAGATAAGAGAAACTAGAAGCATGTCTTGAAGCTAGATAATAATTAATTGATGCAGGATTTAATTTTAATAATCAAGAAGAGGAAGAATAGGTTATGGAAAATTCAGATCAATTATAAGCAAGTCAAAATTAATAGGAATTAGAGAAAATATAATGGAGATAATAAAAAGAGATTTAATAAATGCTTGAACATGAAAGAAAATAATAAGAGATTAGAGAAAGAAATGAATCAAAATAACGTTAATTGTAAGAGAGATAATAGAGAAGAGAGGATTATTTAAGATAAAGTAGAGTTAAATAAGAATATGATCGTGTATAAAGAGAGAGAGATAGATAGATAAAATAATAACGGGAAGAATAAAAATAAAAAAAATTAGCAAAATAATAATATAAAAAAGAATTACATAGAGTAAAATTAGAATAATAAAGATAAAAGGAATTATAATAAGAGTATAGAAGAAGAGAGGAGGAAAGAAAATAGAGATAATAATTATTTAAAGAATAAATGTAAGAAATACAATTAAGACATGAAATGGAATTATAAGTTAAGAGATAAATTATGGAAATGAAAGATAGAGAGAGATTGGAGAAATAGGAATAATCTAGATAAGAGAAGATAAAGATTTCTTAATAAGCTTAACTTGAATTGAAATAAAAATTGTAGACTGCTAAATATCTATAAATGGAGAAATTAGAAAGAATGAGAGAATAATTTGAAGAAAAATAAAGAAAAATTGAGGAAAGAAGATAAGAATTTGAGAGATAAAAAGAATAGAAAATAATAGAAAATTATATTTATGCATAATAACATTAAGAAAAAATGAAATAAGTAATTGAGAAAGTTTCAAATTAAGAAGAATAAAAATATTATGATTATTAATAAAGATAAGAATTTGTAAATTAAAGAAAAAGATAATTAGAATTAGAAAAATTATAAGAATTATTGATAAAAAAATAATAATAAGAAGAGAAAGAATAGTAAAGATTAGATGCTATATAGAATGCTGAAAAAAATTAATAAATTAAAGCTATGGAATTAAATAATAAATTAATACAAAAAGAATAAATGATTTTAGAAAAGTAAATGGAAAAATAATAAATTTAAGAATAAATCAAATTATAAGAAATTCTAAAAATGAAAGATAAAAAAGAAGCTTTAGATAGATTATAGAGAAAATAAGAATATGAAAAAGAAATTTTAAGATAAAAAATAGAGGAAAAGATGAGAAGAACTGAAAATTTACAATTATAAAAAAGTAGAATTTTAGATTAAAGATTGTAGATGAAATAAATAGCTAATTTGTAAAAAGAAGAATTAAAACATTAATTTGAATTAATAAAATAAGGAAAAATTGATATACTTTAATAATCAATACAAAATGAATCCCAATAATAAGGATAAAATTAAATTGAAGATCATCCAATATCAACATAAAAAAAAGGAAGACGTATTATCTATCAAGATTAATTTAGCTTAAACTGCACTTCCAAAATAGAAAGCAGAAGTTTAAAGACCAAAATCTGCACTTACAAAGAAAGTTCAAAATGAAGAGAAAAAGTAATTGAAAATTAATTATGATCCTTAAAAATAATATGAATTAGAATTTTTGGAATAATAATAATAAGAAGAGATGATTAATGTATAAAAACATACAATATTTTTAGCTTTTGGAGAATGAATAAAGATTAGAATAAGAAAGAGAAAAACAATTATATTAAATTGAAAATAAACAAGAATAACTTAGATTAGAGAAAATATTTTAGATTGAAAGAAAATAAGCAAAATAATAAATACTTGATTTGTAAGAAGAACATAAAAAATAGATTGAAGAATTTATGTTTAATTGATTATTTAATATAATAATATGTAAACAAAAGCATAATAGTTTAAAATCTAAGGAAATGAAGCTTTTTAAAATTAAAAATATTAGGAAGCCATATAATTCTATTCTTAAGCTATTGTAAAGTAATAAATTNAATTGAGGAAAGAAGATAAGAATTTGAGAGATAAAAAGAATAGAAAATAATAGAAAATTATATTTATGCATAATAACATTAAGAAAAAATGAAATAAGTAATTGAGAAAGTTTCAAATTAAGAAGAATAAAAATATTATGATTATTAATAAAGATAAGAATTTGTAAATTAAAGAAAAAGATAATTAGAATTAGAAAAATTATAAGAATTATTGATAAAAAAATAATAATAAGAAGAGAAAGAATAGTAAAGATTAGATGCTATATAGAATGCTGAAAAAAATTAATAAATTAAAGCTATGGAATTAAATAATAAATTAATACAAAAAGAATAAATGATTTTAGAAAAGTAAATGGAAAAATAATAAATTTAAGAATAAATCAAATTATAAGAAATTCTAAAAATGAAAGATAAAAAAGAAGCTTTAGATAGATTATAGAGAAAATAAGAATATGAAAAAGAAATTTTAAGATAAAAAATAGAGGAAAAGATGAGAAGAACTGAAAATTTACAATTATAAAAAAGTAGAATTTTAGATTAAAGATTGTAGATGAAATAAATAGCTAATTTGTAAAAAGAAGAATTAAAACATTAATTTGAATTAATAAAATAAGGAAAAATTGATATACTTTAATAATCAATACAAAATGAATCCCAATAATAAGGATAAAATTAAATTGAAGATCATCCAATATCAACATAAAAAAAAGGAAGACGTATTATCTATCAAGATTAATTTAGCTTAAACTGCACTTCCAAAATAGAAAGCAGAAGTTTAAAGACCAAAATCTGCACTTACAAAGAAAGTTCAAAATGAAGAGAAAAAGTAATTGAAAATTAATTATGATCCTTAAAAATAATATGAATTAGAATTTTTGGAATAATAATAATAAGAAGAGATGATTAATGTATAAAAACATACAATATTTTTAGCTTTTGGAGAATGAATAAAGATTAGAATAAGAAAGAGAAAAACAATTATATTAAATTGAAAATAAACAAGAATAACTTAGATTAGAGAAAATATTTTAGATTGAAAGAAAATAAGCAAAATAATAAATACTTGATTTGTAAGAAGAACATAAAAAATAGATTGAAGAATTTATGTTTAATTGATTATTTAATATAATAATATGTAAACAAAAGCATAATAGTTTAAAATCTAAGGAAATGAAGCTTTTTAAAATTAAAAATATTAGGAAGCCATATAATTCTATTCTTAAGCTATTGTAAAGTAATAAATTAATCTAGGCTGAAGATAATACTGAAAGTGTATTCTTTTCTAATAGAGCAATTTGTTATTATAATTTAAAGAGATATTAAGAAGCCTGTAATGATGCTACAGAAGCTTTAGAATTAGATGAAAAGAATATCAAAGCTCATATGATTGCTGGTCAATCAATTTGTATGTTAGCAAAAGAAAGATAAGAGAGCTCAAAGATTGATACAGGTATCTAAAGGATATTAAAAGGTTATTTTGTTTAATAATCTATAGCTAGAACTTTATGTGCAGGTTAAAAGAAATCAGAATATGAAAAGGATATTGATGATAAAATTAATAAAGCTAAAAAACTGAAGTGGTTTATTTAGTAAGAAGAGGAGAAAATAAAAAATTAAGAAATAGTTTAATAGTTATAAGAATTAGTAAAAAATGATGTTAAATTAACTTAACATGAAAAATAAATAACTTTAGCTTAAATTGATAAATATATTACAAATGAAAAACCTAAATTAGAAATACCAGAATATTTATAGTGTCATATTACTAAAAAGTTGTTAATTGATCCTTATACAACAGAAATAGGATATTCTTATGAAAAATCAGTTCTATTCAAAATAAACCCTTTAATTCAAGATCCATTCACAAAGTACATTTTCTTTATTATATTAGTAAACCTATCAATCCTCAAATTATATATCCGAATATAAATTTAAAGTAAGCAGCTAGTGAATTTTTAGCTTAGAATCCTTGGGCATATGATTATAATGGAGATTAGAGTTATAAAGATATTGAGATTTGATTCGTAATAAAAAATGAGATAATAGAATTTATAAACTAAAATATCTAATAAATAAATATATCTTTAAATCTATTAAAATGAATAAAATAGGCATAAGATATCCAGATGGCAATATAAATAGTTTTGAAATGTAGAATGGTGAGGTGTTAAGTTTAAGAAAAATATTTTTGAGTATAAAAATTTATTTATTTAGATCATGCTTAAAATTTACCACCTTTAGAAGTTACTATATTAATAAATGAAAATACTAATACTTTAGTAAGCAGGGATGAAACGTATTATCTTAAATTTTATAATAGTCTTAAAACAAATGTACCATACAAATTAGTAGATTGTAGAGAAATGATAAAATGTTTTAATAGTTTAAGAGATTGTATTAATTAAAAAGATAAATAATTATTGGAATATTAATAAATTATTAAGGAAAAACAATAATTGTTAGATTCTTAAAAAAAAGTGATTGGGGATTAGGAGAAATAACATTTAAATGATATTTAACATAAATTTAGGGATTTAGAATCTAATTTTAAATAAGTGTTAGATAAGAATAAAGACTTACAGAAAGAAAATGAAACTATTTAAAAAAAAATAATATCAGTTAAAGAAAAAAATAAAAAATTTTAAGATTAATATGAAAAATACCAAGAGATTAGAATTAAAATAACGGATGATAAATCTGCAGCAGAAAAACAAGTTGCTTGTTTGTAATTGGAACTTAAACATAAATAAGAGAAGATAATAGAGAAAGAGAATCTAATTAAATGTTAAGAAGAATAACACTAAAAGAATTTGGAATAATAGAGTAAATACTTTGATTAACTGAAATTCAATTTAGAAAATTAGATAAAAAGAGAATAAGAGAGATTGAAAGAGGTAGAATAGTAATATTAAATTGCTTTGTAAGAAAATTCAGCTTTGAGATAGAACTAAAGTAGCAATGACTAATCAAATAAATCTTAATTATTCTAATAAAAGGATTTAGAAATGGAAATTTAATAGTAAAAATTAAATTTTGAAAAGTAGATAAATGATAAAGATGATTAAATTGCATTCCTGAAAAATTAAAATGATATTAAGGATATGATGATTTAAGATTTAAAGCTTAATTTAGAATAAATTAATAAGGAATCCAATTAATAAAAATAATAATTACAAAATGATAAATAATAATTATAATAATTAGAGAGACAGATAGAGGAATAAAAGTGTCAAATCAATAACTTAAATAGTATAATAGAAATGGCAGACTAAGAATTTATCAAAAAAAATGGATATAATGGATAGAATTAACAAGATATAATAGATAATTATAATTATCGTTTAAGGAGATTAGTTGAATGCATACCAAGATTTTATAAAGAAGAAATTAATTTTGCTATTGAGGAAATGTTTTAGAAAAAAAAATATGAAAAAAAAGGAAATTGTATAAATCAAACATTCTAAGTTTACTAATTGACTAATAAAAACACTAGAGATATAATTTTTACTCAAAGTAATTTAGATGTTAAACAAACAATTATTAAATCATATAAATATAATATTCACGGTGAGTTAAGTAAAGAGAAAATTGTGTCTGAGAAAAAATACTCCGATAAATCTAGATTGATTGATTCAATCTAATTGTATTATAGTAAATCAATTGACACTTTAAATGATGAATATATAAAAATTAAAAGTGAGAATAGTAATAAAATATATATGATAAAAGAGACATTTACAAATCAATAAAATAATATAGGTGACATAGATTATACTCTACATTTATTAAGTAGATCTATAGTGGCGTAGATGATTTTAGATGAATTTGTTGCTGAATTAAAAAATAAGAATATTAATATTCCTTTTAAGTTTTAGTTTGTATAACCAGTATTATTTTCAATTAAAATTCATTTTAAAGAATACTTTTCAAATCTTATTGCAAAATAAGGTGAGAAATAATATACTAATGCTTTTAAAACAGTTATCTCATTTATGGATATAATTGAAGAATAATATTCAAACGATTTCTATGAATATATCAGAGAACTATAACTTACAAGATTAGAAGTTAAATCTAAAGATGGAAAAATTACAAATGAGTCTAACAAAGAAGATTAAACATAATTTATTGTTAAGTTTATTTATACTTGTTATGAAGATAAAAAAAGAGATCCTTTTAAAAATATTCTCCTATAATTTAATTTATGTTCTAATGAAGAAAAACTGAAAGCATTTATCGATTTAACAGAGCTATTAAGCGAAACTTATAATACATTTCCAACTGAAAAAGTATATCTCTATTATCTATAATATATAGTTCTTTTATGGATATGAATTAAAATTGAATGATATAAATGATAAAAGTGTTTTCAAGAAATACAATGGAGGTAACACTAGTTTTGATTCTTCAGAAGAAGGTAAATTTTTATCAGCTCTTTCATTCTATTCTATTTTGAAAACTGAATAATAATTTTGTGTATCTCACATTCAAGGAATAGGAAATTATTTCTATGATCCAGTAGTATCAACTTATGATGGATTTTTGGACTGTTTAGATTAAGGAATTAATGAAATACGCAATATTGAATCAGCTTTTTCATCAAGTGATCCTAAACATATTGGTTTTAAATATATAGAAGCATTGGGTCCTAAATATTTAGAAGCTATGGAAAATATGAATATGAATGAATAATAATATTGATATATTTTTAATAAATTTCATTGATTTTTATTAAAATACTTAAGATATTAGGTTATTCTTTCAATTTTTAAGTTATATAAATTAATTAATTGAAATATGTATTCTTATATATTGTAAATATAAATTATTCATGTAGATTATTTTAAGAGATCTCTTAAATTATTTAATTAAAAAGAGTATTATGAATAACATTTAGTTACGATTTAGAAATTAATGTATTGATAAAAATTAAATAATTATATAACAGTTAAATTGATGAGTTAAGGGGAAATAATAAATAACATGGATAATGTTTTAAAATAACTAACAAATAATTTCAATGAATTAATAAGTAGGGAATAGTTATTAAGATTTCTTGATTAGAGATGTATATAATTATTTGACAGAATAATATTTGAATAATTATATTCAAGAATGCCTAAAGGAATAAATGGATATGTATCAGTAAATGATTTTAAATAAATTGTCCTTCAAGCATATTAAACATTGACAACTAAAATTGCTCAATCATCTACTTTAATGGATCAAAAAAGAAAGTAATATTTCCTATGTGAATTAGTGAATTGAATACAATTTCAACAAAATTGAAATAATTAGCTAATACTGAGAGATATAATAATTACAATATTAGTTTATAAAGCACATTAACAATATAAATATTAGATGGAATAGTGGAATTTCCAGGAAACTCTAAAGTTTATATAAAGATAGGATGTGATGAAATTATTTATCAAACTAAATATGCAAATAGAAATTAACCTTAATGGGGTGATACATTTACTTTTCCAATAAAAACAGGTTAAGAAGAGGTTTGGCTTGCTATTTTAGATGAAGAATCAAGTTTAAATAAAAAAATAGGTGGATAAGTTTAATTATAATTACAATAATATTATGATTAAAAAATTCATGAAGAAGAGCTTAATTTAATGGATTAACACAATATTACAAAGTCAGCTATTATAAAAATTACAGTTTAATGGATACATTCTTAAGTATTAAAAATATTATAATTTAGACAAAATATTTAGAATAAGAAATCTTAGAAACATAATAATAAATGTAAGAACTTAAATTTGATATTGATGAATATAATAATGATATCAAAGCAATATTTTAACCATTTCAATTAGAAAATGTTGGAGATAAATTTTATTAATCAGAATAAAGTTAAAATTAACAATAATAAATTGTAAATTAACTTTATTCAACTTAATAAAATTATTCTGTAGAGCCTCCTAAATAAAATACTGAAATCACTCCAAATTAATGGTTAAGAATAAGTTTAATACTAACTCTTATGTTTTTTGTATCAACTATTGCAGTATCGTTTATAAAAACATAATATTTGGATGTATAAATCAGATTCATTAGATTAGTTTCTAATTTTATTTTACAGTTTGTGGTTTTATATGAACAATTTTGAATTGCAATCTCTATTACATATAAAAATAATGACATTTATGTACATAATGTCTATTATTTATGATGGTTTTTGGTTATTTATTTATTTTAAACCTTATTTAAAAAATTAAGTAAAATTTGATCATTAAGAGGATACATTTCATTAATATACTGTAGTATTTTGTATTTTGATTCTTATAGAAAAAGTAAAAATGTAATAATATTTAAATTATAGCTATTTATTATACTCTCTTATTTTAATCTATATTTAAAATGTCCTAATGCAAGATAAAATATATTTGATGAATAATATGAAATATGTTTTGGATCATATTATTAAAAGAAATTAATAGAAAGTTAAAAATAAACACAATACTCTAGCAAAGTAATTAGATAAGGTACTCCAAATATGAAATATGTTTATCCTATGTAATCATAATCACAAAGATAAAGATATTCTTTAAGATATGTTCAATGAACTAAAATTTTCTGATTTATCGAAAGATGCAAGTAAATAATTAAATTATATAAAATTATAATATTTATTAATTAAACAAATTATATCAAGTCATTCAACTTAAATGTTGCAATGATTATATAGTTTAGCTTTCTCACTTTTTATTCTTCTAAAATAAGTAATTTCTTATTTTCCTTCTATTCCAATACAAATTTCAATATCTCCTATTTTTTTAATTACAGAACTAAAAGTGACTATTCTTTTTGGAAGTGGAGCAATTTTTAAGAAATGATGAAATTTACTCTTTTCTATTTATTTTCCTGTATTAAAAAAAAATGATTCTTATTCATCATCTACTTCTGTATGATCTTCTTTAATTAATTCTAATTAACTTTATTTTTAAGATTCATTATTAAGTGTTGCTTTTTATTATTATGAAAGTCTATGAATTTTATCTTCAAGTGTTAATATTTTTGATGTTTAAGATACATTTTAATTAGAACGAGTAATAGCAGATGAATCTGAATTAATAGCTTATGATTTTTTAGTATATTTAAATTCATTAGGAGTAATTATTTAAGGATGTATAATTTTAATTATAGGTTTAGATGGTGCAGAGTTTTCAGATAAAATTCTTCTTTTTTTAGTTTTATTCTATGAATAAAATTTTGGATCAACTTATATCTATTTAATTGATGGTGTGTTATGAACTTAATTAGTTTTTTTACTCAATTTTGTATTTAATTTATCTTCTTTGAAATAAGGTTACTTGGTTAATTCATCTAAATCAAATTATTCTTGAGCTTAAATTGAAAAAACCATTGAAGTAGATTATCTACTCTTTTTTGGTACAAATTAACTATATTATGTATTATTATTATTTTATTCTATTTTTGAATCATTTTTTATAGGTAATGTAGCATTAAAAGAAATGGTTTCAGTTTAAAATTCATCTTAAGCTTAAGAAAACAATTTTAAATTCATAAATATTAAACACAACAATAATTAATTAATATTAAATTTATATAAATAAAACAATATTATATAATTTTTATTAAAAATAAAAATATTATTTATTATATTAAAAATGAATTAGATAATTAAGAAAACATTTGTTATCATTATTTTTAATATTTATATTTCTGATTAAATTTAATATTATTATTATTTAATATAAAAATTAAAATAATAATTATATTTCTTAAAATTATATTATTATATCAACCTGTAAATATTCTAGTCATCAAATTACCAGTTATTATTGGAAATAGCATCACTAACATGTAACCAGCAAACATAAAACAAATAGCTAATAATAAATATCTTATGGCCTTTGGTCCCAATAATTAATTCTATATAAATTAAATTATTATTATCTTACAAGCATTTTACAAGGATTCCAAGTCCATTCTATTCTACCTGTAGGTTCAGGACATACTGGTGAATGATTTGGTTAAGATCTACCTAAACCTACTGGATTCTTATTATGAAACTATTCTGAAACTATTTCAATTGAAACTACCAATTTTCCATTCTATTAATTACTCTTATATCCTGCCTTTTCAGTATTTATAGTCTGAATCACATTCTTTTCATATAAGATTCCTTTATTTGTTTATTTTGTTTAAGCATCTTATTTAAGAATACCATCAGAAGGTGGTTCAGTTTAAGAATACATTTTAATATTAGTTTCATTTTCAAAAGCTCTTCTACATAATTCTGTAATATCTATAGAACAATCAGATATAAAATCATCAGATGTAAATATATCTTTATCAAATATTTAAAATGTTAAAACACATTATTGTAATTATGGTAATTCTATTGGAAATACCATTCTCCAATTAAATGAACCCTTTCCATTAAAACTACGAAAATGTGTATCTGTTTTTTATTTCTAATTTTAATCTACATATCCTACAACATAAAGATCAGAACTTCCTTCATCGTCATGTGATGGTACATCTAACACATCCCACACAACACATCTTATAAAATGTTTAGCTTTAGGTCTTTATTCAATAAACCATGGATTTTTAAGAATTGAAGTTTATTTTGATGGTATTATTTCTAAAAATAAACGAATTTGTCCTTATGGCATAGAAGAACTTGGATGTATTAATTAACGAGTTTCAATAGGTATTTATTTTAATTATCTGAATCTTTATTAAAAATATCTTTCCTCTATATCAATTACAGTTTATCCTATTAATTCATCAGGCATAAAATCATCATAATCCCATACTTATATTGTTAATTCAGATGCACCTGGTAATTCTGTTGTAATATCATATCTTCTATAATATTATGGATTACAATTATCTGTTATCTTATTTTCAACATCATCTATAGATTCTTTACCCAATCTTATTTTTAAATATGGATCAGACATAGAATCTTAATCTTTTGGTGGTAAATTAGAGCAATCAATAATATACAATCTAATGGTAACTTAATTTTTCACTACTAATTCTTTATCTGTTAAATTTGTATCACTTTTACCAGATGTAAAATCATATTCATTCTTAATCAATTTAAATTCAGGTTATGCTTATAGTTTCTCCAAATCTTATTGTGATATAACTTCCACCCACCCTTTTAATTTCCCAGTATTTAATTGATTCTCTTTCACTCCCAAAATTATCTCAGCCATACTTTCTACTTCTCTCAAATTTATACTTCCTTTCCTTAATGGAAATATATCAAAAACTTTCTATTGCATAAATACTGTATCTTCTAATGGACATGGTAAACATAAACGATAATGTACATTAGATTTAATTAATCCTTATTGTCCTTATTAAGAAGATTTTATTTATAATTCAACTTAATTTAATGATTTATTTTGTATTTGTTAACCTCCTAATTTCTTTCTTTATACATATAACTAAGATTTTTATGTTTAGGTATCATAACCTAATGGTAAATAGTATTTGCTATCAGGTTTATCTACTTCAAAAAATGTACCCTCTTCTTCATTTTTATCATATTCAATATACTTAATTATCTAATCCATATGAATTGAATTGTTTCTCAGAATTCCTAATTAAGTTAATAAATTATTGATTTCTTCATTAAATTATTCTCCAGAAGCCATAGATAACAATGCTCCCATCTTTATTCCAACTCCCAAATCTAAACTTGGTAAATGAATTATGTTTTAATCCACTTAAATTGTTCCATTTAATACTCTCTTTGCTATATCCTTTTTCTCTTCTATTTATTTCAATGTTTTTAACTTCTATAATTTTAAATCTATTGAAAATTATCCTATAAGAGGTTACATGAGTCCTTTTAGAATATAATCATGAACACTCCCAATAAATTTTGGCATGAAAGCATCATCTTCAGGAAGATTAACCTCTAAACAAATTATAGAAGTTATATTAGGATTAGGACCAGCATCTTTAGGTTATGTAATGATTTCACTTCCATTATTTAATGACAAAGGTTCATCCTTAGCTCTTATTGATTGTATATTGAATTTAGCAAAGGCTTTAGTAACAGGCAATGGACCAAATGATTTAAGATTTCTAAGACCCAATAATTTAATTTTAATGAAATGTTTAATTCTAGGAGGACTAATTTAATTTGGTATTTTTATAGTAGCATTATCAATATAATTACAAGATAACAATACTTATCCAGCCTTACTTCCATATAGATATACATCTATCCATTAAGGTTTAGTTATAGTAGATTAATTTTTAGTAATAAATCCTTTCTTTAATCCTTTTTAATAATCTATAGTCAATTATCCCATAAAATCTCTACTAACTTTATCTTGATCAAATATTTTCAATATAATAGGAGGGAAGGAATCGTTCTCAAATTTATATACTGGCATCTTAAGTTGAGTATTCCAAATAGGTGCAGTTGTATCATTTATCAAAACAGTAGTCTATTTTTAATCATAAAAGAGTATATCAACAACAGGATCAGCTAAACCATCCATATCAGTAGGTGCTAGATCATGAGCTTAGAATAAATTGACATATAGAAAACTATTGGCATCTCTTTATGGTTTAACTACTTATTGTATCTTAGCTTGTCCTCCTGTAGGTTAGATTAGAAATTTAATTTTAACAATACCAGGATGATCCATAGGTGTATTTTTGAGAGACTTATCAGGAATTAAAGTAACTGTAAAATGATGTCCTTCAGGATGTTCAGCAGTTGGATTAAGATTGTATGATTTATATCTCTTAAAACATATAGGTTTATCACCATCCATTAAATATATAAAAACATCTGGTAATTCTGATATTTCTTTAGTTGGAAATCTAACATTATCAATAGTTAAGTATTTATAATATTCAACAACACCATTTTTAGCTTTTTCAGAACTTGTTTTACACTCATGTTCTCCCCATTTAATTTTAATAGAATATGAATCATCATCTACTGGTAAATTGAGTGCAAAATAGACCATACATTAAAATGACCATTAATATGATACATCTGCACGTATTTTTTCAAGCGTTTTTTAATCAGTTATTTTTTATTTATCCTTTTTAGGTAATTCTGAATCAACCAATTCCATTGATAATAATATTCTACCTGCATAACAAGTTCCCAAATCTGGATGACTACATAAATACACTCTTTAATCTGATTCTGCATCTATATGTGCTCCATAAATATGATACCATTTAGGTTATTATAACTTAATATAATATATATATATAAATTACCTAACCACTTAAAATTTCTGAGATCTTAAATAATTAACTACCTGCTATTTCATCCTTTCCACCCATATCATAATCAAATAATCTCATTATCAAATATTCACTTTAACATGGCGTCATTACAGGTAACTAATAATTATTATTTTCAATATATTTACAAATAGATTCAATTCCCAATTTGGAGCATTTTGATTTTTAATCAAATCAGTTTAAATTTCTTAACCACCAATTTCAAATAATAAATATGGATCAATAGATCCCAACATTGAATCCATTTTCATTAAATTACTAGCTCTACCTAATGTAATTTTTAATTATTGTCCTTTTGTTTGAATATGAGGAGGTAAAAGTAATTCACCTTCAGCAAAAAGATTATTTTTTGTTTCCTCTATCTTTCCTCTCTCCTTAATCTCATTATCCATTATTAAAGTAGTTTATTTATCTGATTCATGTACTACATTAATACTCATTTTTAAATATCCAGTTATTTTATTGAAGTCTTTCTCTGGATTAATCAATCCCTATTAATTATATAATTCATTTCATTACCAACCATTTATGTAATAATACATGATTATCCATCATATAAATAGTTGAGAAATCTAATTCATAGATTCCTACTACTGCATTCCTTCCAAATACTTTGTGATCTAATACTGAAATTTTCACATGCTAAGATTAAATTTACCAACCATTTGAAAAAGATCTTTTGAAATAGAAATGCTCATTCCATACTAAAGTACTATTTGATCCAGTTCCCTTCTTTTGAGAACTGAATTTCTTCTAATCCATTGTTTCAATTTGAATTAATGGATCTATAGTACTTTCATTGTCATTAGGATTTTATAATGCTCTTGTTTATTACAACAGAATGTGCACTAAATACTCTCCTGGTTTAAATTATAAACTTTCCTATTAAACTATAGGTTCAAGTTCTTCTTATTGTTATTATTTTTTTTTATCTGCCATACAAATTATTAATATTAAATCAAATTTCAATATCTTCTGTGAATTCTTCTGTACATGCTCCACTAACATTAAAATAACTTGTGTGATCAGCAGCAGAATCACCTATGATTGAATTAGCACAAGTTGGATCTTCATCAATTCCACTTGAACATATCTAAATTAATATACTTAATTACCTTATATGATTTATTATCATGAGCATACCAAACTTCTTAAGGTGGATGTTTATAAGAGAATGATGAAGGTGGTTAATGAATTACCATATCTCTATAATGTGTAACCCTCCAATGTTCTGTTGCACCAACATAACTAGTAAACCAAACAGCAAATTCATGAGTTCCAATACGAGGAGCTCCATAAGTAAAGAAATAGTCAATATTGTAACCTAATTTCTTTAAATCTACTGCAGCCAAATAAGCTACTGCACCACCTAATGAATGTCCTGTAACCAATATTTTTGAAGTTGGATATTTTTCTTTCAAATGTTTTGCCGCAGCCAACACTTCTTATGATACGTCATCATAAGTTTCCCAAAATCCTAAATGAACTTTACAATTTTTGCAATCTCCAAAATCATGTTTAAAGAACTTTATGTTATTGTACCAGTTGATAAAGTCTTAGGTACCTAAAATTATATTATCGATTTCATACTTCTATAAACAACAACCACCAAATTTTCTTTTTTATTATATCCTACATATGCCTATGCATGATGATCAGACTTATAGAATGCCTTAACTTCAACCATATCTGGATGATGCTCACAAAATGAACCACAATTCCAATTTGATATACTCTACAAACAATTATCAATTGATTTACCTTCAAACTACATTTTGCTACCTAAGTGTAATAGAAGAAACTTTCAGATTGAGTATGCTAATAATTTTATTACAAACCCATGAGTTTCTCTATCCTTTCTTCCACATTTCCATTCACTACTGTCAATAATATACAAAGAGCTATTATTGAATACGTCATTGATTTAATGATAATATTAATTGATATTAACCTATTAAAAGTCTTAAAATATCATACCAATTATATAAATCTAAATAATAATTAATGATTATAATATGTTTTGGGTATCTAAGAGATGATGATGAAAATAAAATCCTAGCTTAAATTTTCTAATAACAAATTTCAAGAAACATTATACAATAACTTAGATTCAGTGTTTTAAGTTGAAAATAGAATATGATAGATAAGTAAATTGAATTTAAATAAGATTTTACATTAATTATAAGGTTTAACACTTACAATCTTAAAGATAATTATTGATTTTAATTAATAACAACTATATAATTTTATAAGAAAAGAAGGTAGTTTAAAAAAAATCAAATATTAGTAAATTAGAACACCAAAATTTATATAGCTAGATTAGATTCAAACAATTCTAATATAATCTAGAATATTATATTGTAAAAAGGATTTGGATTAAAGTTGCCTGATTGTTATTTTTAGACCAATACAACTATATGTAATTTTTTATAATGATGTATTAAGAAGCTTTTCTTCATTTCCTGGCATCTTTTAAATTATTTGGGCAAATAAATTTATTTCATTCTGTTTAATTCGATTATTTACTTTATTATGTATAAGAAGAAATAAATTATAGATAGATTTACTAAACAACAAATTACCTCATAAATTTGTAAAATTAATCATTTATTAATAATAAAGAGTGTAATATTTTTGATCAAATTATCATATAATATATAATTATATATAATCTTAGTATGAATACATATGAGGTATTTATTATTGGCTAATAAAACAACATAGATATTTATTATTGACTAATAAAATAACATATATCTAATTCAATATAAAAGGCTAAGAATATTTTTTATAATTCCCAAGATTTATATGTATATATATTAATTGCAAATAATATTCAATTTTTATATTCAGTTTCGCATTAATATATATCTTTTTAATTCTTTTTTAAAGACATAGAATTCATAAAACTCTCTCATAATAGAATATCTGCTAATCCTAAAAAAAATTGATGTTAGAACCTTTACTTAAGTTCAGATCTAATGATCATATTTTAATAACGCATATATTATTATTTTTATATATTCGAAAACCAAACTTTCATGGGTTTTAACCAATTTTGCATTTTATATAATAAAACTGAGTATGTAATAAAAAATACTAGATGTACATCTTGTTTTAAATGTATTATGTAATTTGATTGAAGCCAAGAGAACAACATTTCTATAATTGTTTAAATTGTTTTAAATTTAAGGGAGACAATCAAATATAATAAGAAATGTCATATCAAAATACGATGCAACAATTTGATTCATTATTAATTAGTGGTTATAGTTTTTAATTTTAATTTTTTTCTTCCTCGTTTGTCTTCTGAATACTTTAATTAACATTAGATAAGCGAATTTCGCATTCAGAATCTGATGAATCACTATCTATTTATATTTTATTCCTAGTTAAATTCACAGCAATTGGTTCATATGATATTGATTTAAAAGTTATTTTATGTTTGCCACCTTTAATAATTATATTTCCCATTGAATCTATTCGAGTATTAGTTGTTTATTCATCTTTTTTGATATTCTTCAAAATAGATTTTACAGTATTTGAAGTTCTACTCGAATCAGCAAGTTATTGTAATTCTGTTTAAGACATTTTAATTAAATTATATTTATAAAAATCTTTTGCAGATGAACTTAACTTATCTTTTATCGAAGTTTCAGTTTTAAAGATTTGAAAAACAAAACAAATATATAAAAACTTTGATATAATCTACTAGTATAAAAGTTTGTAATAGAAACAAAAGAAAGTAGAATTTAAATAAAAAGATAAAATTAAAATTAAGGCTTAATGATAATTTATTTAACAAAGTCTTGATTTTTAATAAATTTCTAAAACAGATGTGAGTTATCTAATTAAAATTATTAATCAATTTATAAAATCTTTGATTTATATTTTTCTTAGAAATATAAAATTAAAGGAGCTAATAATTGCTTGTCTTTTTCCACTTAGATTACAGGTTCTATAATTTATCTGATTTCAATAATTGAAACAGTATCCTATATAGCAATTATCAGAATTTTACAGTAAATCCTATCACTTTGATAATTTTATTTAAATGCTTAATTTAAAAACAAAAAAACATTTACTCTCAATCTAGAAAATTAGAAAAGGTTGTTAAACTTCATAATTCAGATTCGAAAACTATTTTGTTCGAAGAAATGGAAGTTAATGCTCATTCTAATTCATTGTTTTTATCTATTTATTTATCAAAGATAATATACCTTTTTTCTCCTACATCATAGAATACATTTACATAATAAGGAAGCAGTTGTTATTGTTTGAATGGATATATTGATGAATTTTCATTAGATTGTATAGGTATGTTATTTATTATATCTTATTAGCAAACATAACTAATCCTTGATGATATAGTTGAAATTTCTATATTTATTTTGTTATAAAATTATTATATTAAATTTATAAAATATAAGAATAACTATTCAACAAATATTTTCATTCTTTTTAATAGTATCAATGAAACATAACTATATAAATATTAAAATTATAATAAATATAATTATAATATTTATTCAAAATACTATTAATTATATTATAATTATTTAAAATGAATTAATATTAAATTAAAAACAAGAATAATTTATGATGTAATTTAATGATATTTTGAATATTTTATATATTTATTATCTCATTTAAATCCTTCCTTAGCAATTTCTTCTACAATTTTATTCCAATGTTATTTAATCATATTTGCAGGTTCACTATTTATGGCTTCTATGAATAATCCAATTTCAGTTTGTCCTTAATCTAGAGTTGAGAATAATCCTTTATAAGTAGTACTTACTATCATATCATGAACTTTTTTTCCACAAATTTAAAGATGAGTGATAATATAATTATCTTTTGAGAATGCATAGACGAATTTAGAAAATGCATTGAAATATGAATCTGTTTCACTAACTTTAGGCTTAAATGTTCCACCATTAATCTTTTTAAATTCTCCTTCTTCAACCATTTCACAATAATAATATTCTTCTTTATCTATAATAATTATAAATTTAATATTTACCTTTAGACTTTAAAACAAACTATCTAGCAATTTGATAATCTCCTTCTTTTAATTTTTATGATTTTAATATTTTATTAAATTATTCCATTAATAATTAACATAAGAAATTATTTTTAGACATTTCAATTGCTTCATCTATATTAGTAAATGGATGATTTTAAGAAATTAAATCTTTTCTTAAAAAGTATTTTCCTTTTAATTCATTTTAATCTGCCTCTCTTACAATACTTAAATAACCCTTAAAAAATGTAGAATCAGCATTTGGTTAAATACTTCTATTTAATTTGACATTACCCTTTGGATTCTTATTTAAACATTTTTCAAATAAAAAATATTAATTATTTTTCAAAAGTTCTTTTGCTTTATTAAATTCAAAAGTAATCTCAAAAATTTCATAATCTTTCAACTCAAACTAAGCAGTCAAATCTTTTTGAATTTAGTAAATTTTATTAGGAGATTACATTAATTTATCCATTAAACCAATAACTTTATCATAATATTTATCATCTTGCATTTGCTTTGATAATTTCTTTAAAATATGATCTTTTATCTCTAATTTTTACTTACTTTATTCTAACTCAGACTTCATTTCTTAAATTATTACATCCATTTATTATTTAAATTATTGATTGGCATCTTAATCATTTCTAATTTAATCATCTTTTTATCTTAATTAATTTTAAAGTTAATTTAATTTAATTTCTAAATTACTTATCTCTCCATCTTTTGTTGTTATCTATGTTTTAAACTATCTAATTTTTTCTTAATTTTCTTAATTTAATTTAGTTTGATCATTTATATCTTTTTCAAATTTAGCGATTTAATTTTTGAGTCTTGATATTTCAGTTTAATTAACTAATCCTCCATTTTCTTTTATTTCTATTTCTTCTTTGTATCTTTATAATTAATTTTTT